CTCAGGGGATTTAGTCAGGTCCCTGCAGCTGGCTGGTAGACTGCTAAGTGCCCCTCTGGGTGTCTCTGAGGCTGCTGTTTTTACACCACCAACGACAGGTAGATAGGCACTCCCGTAAGAGCCCACATCATTCAAGTCCTACAGAAATCCTTGATCAACTGTCAAACAAAGCAAAATTATAAAATGAAACATGCTAGATAAGAGATGACCAGACTTCATGGGCATACTTTCTGGTTGCAACATTAAGGGGAATTCCACAATTTATTTAGTAGTTCTTTAGTTCCTGCCTTGCTAACCCTCTGTTTCTCTTTTCATTTAGTTCTTGCTTTCAAACTACAGCATTAACATCCTTCTTGCAGTCTTCTCCATAGAAGAATCCAGGTAAAGCTAATTTTATTTTATTAATTTCTTTCTGAAGGAACTCTGCATCTGTGACACCTTGTCTCTCGCCTGTCACAGTAACAATCACGTTTGTTTTATGTTGCCTCACACCTATATTTAGTGTAGTCTTCACAGCAATCAGGAGTTTGGTTTGACCATATCAGCAGGTGTGGCACCTTGTCACAAGTCCCAACACTGTATCCTGCACCTGGTAATTGCTCAGCCAACTGCTAGCAGTGATTGAGTCCTCATGAATCCTCCCTGAGGTAGGATCTGCATTGCTATTCAGTGCTCAGCACACAATACTGGAAGGAGGGTTCATACACACCAGGTCCCAAAAAGCTTCTGGCTCCCCTCGCTTCAGCTCACCAAAGTCTCCACCAGGCAGACTTTGTCGATCCACTGCCACATGTCTGAAGGCAGGCACCAGCCATAGAAGGCCCAGAGCACCTACTGGGGCAGAGAGGGTGGAAGAGAATTTGGTAGACCCTACTGGCCTTCCAGTGCAGGAAAGCAGTGTTAGACCAGAGAAGATCTGATTCTGTGAGTCTGAAGAAAAGCTAAATGTTTTAAAACACAAAATCAACTTCTTATTGTACAGCCTGAAAACCTCTTTCTTTTGCTGGGCACAAGTCTTTTGGCCTCATGTAGAAGTGCTGTGGGAAAACAATTAAACCTAAAATCCAGACCACATTTCATGGAACTAGACTGACTGCAAGATTAAAATACAACTTTTGCAGACAAGCCAGCCCCACTTTCTATATTACTTCATGTTCATAGCTAGAAAGTTCTTTCAAACATCTCTGTGGAGTGTATTAGGGATGCTGGAAATTAAGCACAAGCCTGTCAGAGGATGTTGAAATACAGGTCATCCCTAATCATTGGGACTATCAGGAATCCTTAAAATCTACATTAAATGGATACCAAAGATGCTGGCAGCTGATTATATAAATGTAGACCTGAGTTTCACTGCACCCTCAAAGACACTTGGGAACCAGGGCATATTAGGGAAACACCATCTGGTGCTTGTAGAACAGTAACCAGAAATAAACTGACCCTGTCTGTTCCACAAGTTCTGGCAAGAGTCCTAATGCTGGGCCAAAAGCAAGAGCTTTAACGGTAGAGAAAAAAGTATTTACTGCTGTGGTCTGTAAAAGAATGCCAACGGGATATTTGCCCTGCAAATGACACCAAAGAAGACAAAACACCAATTTTTTTCCCCTACTGTCTCTCTCCACTTCTGCCCTGATTCCCTCAGCAGCTTGGTTTCTCCGCCCATTCCCAGTGCTGCCAAACGACTGCCTCACATCAGCACACAGATACTGGTGGTGTTGGGGTAACCTGTGTCACAGGAGCATGTGGTGACTCATTTTTCCATGGGAGTCACTAATTTGAACTGTTTTTGGCTTCTTTGGCAACACTTATTAAATGATGTGGGAATGTGAAGTTAGGATATGACCCACTCTGTAAGGGAAGGACACAGAACTGTCTCTGCAATCGACTGATTTGCTTGAGCATCTGCATTGAAGTTCCTGGGTTCTCTGCATGTCATTTGTTCCCTTCCCTCCATGTTTCTCACTGTTGCCAAACTGATAATCCTCACTGATATGGTGGAGACACCTATTCTGGTGACAGTGGAATTCTTCCCCTTTTTCATCATATTTGGTAGTACTAAAATATTCTTAATTGATAGTGGCTTGCCCAGTTACTCAGAAAAGGCTACCATGAGGTCCACCACTAAAGCTATTGCTAGATCAGTTTGCATGACCTTTACTAGCAGGAATTTGCATGAACCCAGTGGTACAAAACACCAGGAAAAGAAGCTGAGCTCTGTAAGTGTGTTTGGATTGTCCTCCCTAGCTATGTTCTTGGGGCTCATACACGGTGATTGTTGCCTTACACACCATAGCCAGAGACTCCATGACAACCTTCTCCCTCTCCTTGCCATTTTCACCAAGCTTTTGTCACTGAGCTGTTCATGCTGAGCCATCCTGGCATCATCTCACACAAATGTCAATGTTGGTGGACTGGCACCTTCAGATGGGAGCAATCCAAGGCAGACTGTACCAGCTCCCAGGGAGAAGTTCCTAGAAGGGTCTTGACATGTGCAGAGCCTCCCAGATGCCATTTCTGTCACTTTCAGGTGCTGTTTCAACTTGGACTTGGAAAAATGGGCTTTGAAGGCATCTGAGGGATTGTTCTTCCAAGACACTGTAGACACTGCTGGCTGGTTAGTCACACCAAGATGCTGGTGAGTGTTTGGCAAAGATGCACAGAGAAGGTCTCTCCCTCTGGCCAACGTGCACCTATTTCTGGTAAGGACTGGATCTCTGAGAGGGGGTACATCCCACCACACCCACACAGCTGAACCAAATTGACAGTCCAAAATTTTCCAATGGGCAACTTGCAACTTGACAGCCAATGTCTTCAGAAACTCCTTCCGGGTGGTGGGGCAGGAAGGAAGCGTGGCAGTACAGCCTTGTCCACTGAGCACTTCTCCCTCCCTCGCTCCCTCCCTCCCTTTCAGCCCTGTCCTTTCTCAATACCCAGGAAAGATTAACTCCTCTTCGCACACCAGAGAAAGTTATTATCATTAATGAAGAATTAAAAGAGAGTGATTAATAAAGAGCCCTTATCTGGCCATGAGGAGGAGGCTGGACAATGGAAGGAAGATGGAGAAAATGAAAAACAATAAATATGAAGCGTAAAAGGAGGCGAGCACTGCTCCCACTTGTTAGATCGCAGCTGCATCTCCTGAGGGGGGAAGGCTCCAAATTGCTAATTACTGCCTCTGAAAAGACCTCGCTCTGATATGTTTTCTGCTGAAAGGTTCCCATTAATGAAGCAGCGATGATGCCGTTTCCCTTTGACTTGCCTTCAATTCCCTCCCTGAGCTTCCTCCCAAGCCGGGAACAATGAGGCCCTGGGAGCTGGCGGCTCCCACAGGCCTCTCGGAGACTGGGCCGGGGGCAGCCGAGTGAGGGGAGCCGAGCCGGCTGTGAAATATGGAGGGGGGAGATAAGGCAAAGACAGAGGAAAGAGGCTCACTCCCAGGAGCCCAGGGAAAATTTGCAGTTATTATGAAGGAGATGAGACAGATTAAAAGCCCTTGTGTTCTGCGCTGCCCTTTTATTTAGTGGCTTCATCTCTGAGATGAAAGAAGTTGGAAATGACTTTCTCCGCATTTTGCTGCAAGAAGCTTCACGGCACATTTTTTGACTTTATTCCTCCCTTTGTCTCTTGTCCCCTTTCTGTCTCTCTTTTTCCTTTAACCCCTGGAAGGTTTTGCTGTGAAATGTCATGGGACTAGGCAAAGCATTTGCTGGGGTAGAGCAATGACCCTGCTGCTCTCCCCATCCTACTGGGCTGTACGGCTCCCGCTGCCCACGGAGGAGGGAGCTGGGCCAAGGCACTGCCATGACAGGCAGAGAGTATCCAGCCAAGCTTCCTCTCCCGCTTGCCTCAGAAATGTCTCTCACCACTAACACACCCTCTCCTGCCTCCAGGCCCAGTAGCAGTTCAGCACAGGTGACTGCAGCCTCTGGGCAGGAAAATAACCCATTCTTACAAAGCCCAGTGGTGGATAAAAATCCATGTGGGGTAAGAGTGCTAAGCATTTTGTATCCCTGGAGCATTTAATGAGAAAAACTAGTGCTGAGAAGTTGGGATAGTTCCCATTCGGGCAACCTACAAAGTGCACAGAGAGTAAACAATTTGCCAGGGATGTGGGATGAACTTGAATGCAGACAGGGATTCAAAATTAACTTTTGCTGATCCATATCAGGGTGAACCTTGTAAGACTGGACAGAAATACCATAAACTGCTCAAAACCAGATTATCCCAATGGCCTCATTATATTTCTTGAACTCCTATTCCAAATTTTCTAATTTTTCCCCAGACACACCAGTGCTCCTTTGTGGCACCTTTTTAGTTCTTGGGACCCTTGCAATTGCAAGAGTACTTGCATTCTGTCTGTTGCTTTTGCCCTATCTCTCTCACAGAAAACTGACCCTGTGTGCCAGTATGTTGTCTTTACTCAGGCCAAATGCTGACAACATCTGCAGAAATTTGGGGTTGAGTGTTGAATGTGGAAAAAAATAATGGACAGGTAAAGTAAAATTTATACCAGTTACAAAACATTTTGTTGACCTACAGAAATGGCAGAGAACTAGTTGGGAAATGAGGGGAAAATAGGAGAAATTAGAGTAGACATCTGCTGCCATCTCCCCAGGACATCTGAATAGAGGATTTCTTGTACACAATTGTTTGTCTGGTTTGTTATCCTGCCTGGAACGGCAGCCAGTATCGAGTGCTTGAAATGAAGGGGTAAGAAGCTCTGAAGTGATGTTTACAGAATAACCTTCCCATCAGGGGAGTTTCTCTCTAACCCAGACGTTTTGTAGCTGTTTTATATCCTGAAGCATGAAAAAGGATTGCAGTGGTGAAACAGGATTAGATTTTAGAAGGGATTTTCTCTCAGATCTGAGAATAAAAAGAAAACCCCTGTATTGAAAATAGGAAACTGGCAGGGGAAACAAACTGCTGCTAGCAAGTAAGGTGAGTTACTGCCTCAGAAAGGGTTAACAAACCAAAAGGACAGAATTTTACAAGCAAATTGGTGCACATAAAGTAACTTTAATCAAGACAGCTATTGGAAATGGGATTTTTAAAAATCTACCTAATGACTGCTTTTCTTCTTTTAATATTTCTTTTCCAAGGAAATAATAGAGAACTACAAGGAAATGAAAATGTTATATGACAGCTCAGACTGGCATAGAGGACTGGTTAGATAAACAGCATGAAGAAAGTTCAGCAAAGCTAAATGAAGCTTGTCCTATTGGGGCGTAGGAATCAATGGCAAACTCAAGAATTCAGTTATTTTTGAAGTATCTTGACAAACTAGGGAGGGTGCCAGAGGACTGAGGAAGAGCAAGCACAGCGCCGGTCTTTTGTGGTGGGAGCAGGGAGGCAGCAGTGGTCTTGGCAAATATCACCCTTTCAGAGTATCTTCTGTTCCTGGCAACGTGATGGAGTAAACAGAAATGGGAGGAAAAAGTAAGAATGCAAAGGATAAGAGGTCTGTGAGCAGTAGGCAGCAGTATATATTTACAGAGAATAAATCACATCAAAATAAATCTGATTACTTTCTTTTGGTTTAATTTAGAAAATTAGTGAAGAGAATGACTCAGACATAATATAGATATGGACTCTGGCAAAACTTTTGATATGGCACTCTGTAAAACATTACATGAAAAATGAACTGGTATTGGGTTGAATGTGAGTGCAGCTACATTGGTTAAGTAAACCCCAAACACCCTTCTGGAAAAAAAAAAAAAAGAAAAAAAGAAAAAAAAAGAAAACAAACAGAAAACCAAACCAAACCCAAACAAAACCCCACTCCCAACCCCCACCCAAAACCAAACAAAAACCAAACAAAACCCACCAACAAACAATAACAAACCCCCAAAAACCCCCAAACAAAAAAAAAAAAAAACACACACACACACACAAAAAAAAAAAAAACAGCAAAAAATCCCTGAAAACAAAACAAAACAAAATAAAACGACGATGAAAAAAACCCACTCAAAACCCGCTGAAGAAACATCATGAAAGCATGAAATAAACGGAAAGCCATGCAGAATTGGATGGTGACAGGTTCAGACCTAACTTTATTCTGATGGCTATTGGTGATGTGTAAACTGGCATGATGGGAAAAGAGATGCAAGCCTTAAGGAGAGGGGAGCAGCACTGTGATGTCTAATTTAGGATGCACTTAACTAGCCTGGCAGCAACGAAGTGGAGGAGTTTGGGTACCAAGTTTATTTGTCGTCTATTAAAAATAAAATACGATAACCAAGCAGCTAAAGGTTACGTACAGGCAAGGGCTGCCCCGCTGGCAGGCGAGGGCTCTGCAATGGTTGCACTGACGGCACCAGCCACGGCGTACACACTAGGAGCAGGCGGCGGGGCGGGCCGGGCGGCGGGGCGGGGCGGGGCGGCGCTGGCCCGGCCGGGCCGTCGGGGCTCGGCGGCGGCGGCGGCGGCCCCGCCCGCAGGCGGGGCGGGCGGAGGAAGTGGCCCGGGGAGGCCGGAAGCGGCGCCGACGAGGGGCTGGCGGAGCGGGGCGCTGGCTGGTGAGCGGGGTCGTGGAGGGGCCCGGCGGCAGGCTGCGCGTCCGGGGTGGTGAGGGCAGATTTCCCGGCTTTTCCCGGTGAAGCTGGGAGGGGTCGGGCAGAAGCAGCGGCGTCTCCCTAGAGGAGGGAGTCGGTGCGGCCGGGTCGCTGAGGACTAAGGGAGGCGGCCTGCTGCAGTGGGTAGTGCAGCAGACTGGAGGTGCGGGTGTTTCTGAGCCCAGGGGGGAGAGAAATCCCACGCCTGCAAGACACGGGTAGGCAGAGGGGTGTTGTGAGATGAGGGGTTTGGCCAGGACTTTGGGATTGACACACAGACAGCCCTGAGGTGTAGGGGTGGTATTTTTCGGCAGTAGGAGTTGGGGCTTGGTCTTCTACACCCTATTCTAAGGAACCAGGGTCCCGCGCGCCTTGCTTTACATCTGACGTGATGCTGGCTTGCAAACTACCTGTTTCACCATCTGTTTTACTCCCAGCTTTGCTGCTTGTCTACTTTTTGGAAGACTCAATCTGTTTGTCAAGCAGGCTGATCCTTCTCTGTTGCTTCACTGATGCCAGGTAGCAAAAACTAGTTGCTGGCTTCATACCCTTTGGGATATGTAATTAAGCATGCTGCTTCAACACAAAAGATGAACCTTAAGGCCTTTTCAGACACAGAGCACTCAACCCAACTGCTGCAGTAGCGAGAGATCTGTGCCACCATGGCTAGAAGAGGGATTTAACCCTTGCAAAAAGAAGTGTTAGCCCAGGAAGTGGCAGTTGTTCTGCATTGGGTGCTCCCAGGTAACTTCAAAGTAAGTGTCTTAATTCCTTTAATGTTACAAAGGGTATAGCGTACTACAGTCCAGAAATGTGTTGGTAGCAGTATTTGTGTCCGGTGCTAATTGTTATCATTTTTAGTAGGCATTGCCGATGGATGAACTGGTGCATGACTTGGCCTCAGCTTTAGAGCAGACTTCAGAGCAAAACAAACTGGACGAGCTATGGGAAGAGATGGCCCTAAGCCCACGGCAGCAACGGCGTCAGCTTCGCAAGAGACGGGGTCGTAAACGACGCTCAGACTTCACACATCAGGCAGAACATGCCTGCTGCTACAGTGAGGCCTCAGAGTCGAGCTTGGACGAAGCTGTCAAGGATTGCCGTGAGGTGCTGACAGCTAATTTCAGTGACTCTGATGACATGACAGTGGTCAAACGGCATCCAGCTCTTAGTGCCACCCTGAGGAGCAAGCAACACTTGTGGCATGAGTCAGACTCCTTTACAGAGAATGCACCCTGTCGACCTCTCAGGCGCCGACGGAAAGTCAAACGTGTGACATCAGAGGTGGCTGCCAGTCTCCAGCAAAAGCTGAGGGTGTCAGAGTGGAACTATGAGAGGGGCTGCAGGTTCAAGTCAGCCAAGAAACAGCGTCTTTCACGCTGGAAAGAGAATGCCCCTTGGACATCATCCAGTCATGGCCTTTGCGAGTCAGGAGAGAACAGGCCCTTCCTCAGCAATGGGGGAAGGAAGGAGCGGATGGAGTGTGAAGCCGATGATCAGAAACAGGGTTCAGATGAAAACATGTCGGAATGGTGAGATCTCAGTTTCTTCCCTGTGCTAGTCAGATGGCTGCCTTGCTTGCAGCTGCTTATAAATGCTGTGCCTTAGTTTTTGAAGCTCTTAAAATTATTCAATGCTGCTCTCTTTGTGAAGATGAGAAATATCTCAGCTGCTTCTAAACTGTAGATTTTTTCAAAGTCTCTCCTGTCAGTATTGTATGATGACCCAGAAGGCTTCCTTGAAAAGTTGGCAAGCTGGTAGGTTTATGGCTCCTGTTACACAAAGAGTCCTCTGAAATGTCAGTGGCCTTGCAGCTACAACGTGGCATGCTTGTGGCCTATGGTTTGGGGAGCAAGCCCCCAACTGGCACTTGTATTGCGTGATTGATGCAAACTGATCTCAGTTTCTTATTTTCAGCATTTACTATAAGAAGTAGTAGATAACAGATCAGATCACCCATCATTACTGCTGGCCCTCTGTACAGGGACTGTGTGAACCTCAATCTAACCTTGGTTGTGGTTCTACATTTCTGCTCTTGATCTGATTGTCAAAGTCTAGCTATTGGGAGAATACGGTGAGACAATGAAGAAGTTGAGGGGAACTTACGTTACTTACAGGATAAACCTGTGCAAACAGTGGAGTCTTATGTCTTGATGTCTAGTTTTGGAGAATTTTGATGAATTTGTGGCAGAATTACATACAAGGGATTAAAATGAGACATACAAATGCCATGGTCTAAATTTGCATTGCCCTTGGGAATTTTTTTCCCAACTGTGACTTTTATTCTCTCTGTCTAAGGTTTGGGATCATAAAACTGCTTCTGTCGGAAGAGATTTTTTAGGTTAGAAAAGAGGCAGCTGCTGAGAATTAAATGGAGGAAATTTCTTAATGAATGGCATACAAAAAACAAATGTGATTGCTGATTTTCTAATTATCATTGTGTAAGAACAGCAGACATTGAGAAGACATTTCAAACAAACAAGAAGTATTCTTTTTCATTAAACATGAAGTCTGGAACTCTCTACTGCAGGACACTTTAGAGGTCAAAATTTAAATACGTTCAAAAGAGAGATGTGGAGCATAGACATATCAGGGCTATTAAACATTACAGCCCAGAGGAAATATCCTGCTCAGGAAGTCCTTACGTTGCTGGCTTCTAAGAGCTAGAGGAACATACAGAGAAGTCTGTGTTTATCATGTTCTCATGTTCTTTTCTGAAGCAATGTAATAGTCACTATCAGAGGAGAGTGGACTTGGAAAGTCTAACTCTTTGATACAGTATGATTGTTCATGTGTTGAGGTTCAGTTAGGTTTTGTGACAGTCTAGTTCCTGCAGTTTGTCAGAGTGAACAGGTGGCACTTCATTTTTGTGGATAATAGCTGGAATCGCAAACTTCTCAGTGGTGTTTTCTGGGACCCTGTGAAAAGCTTAGGTTATATTGAGTCCTCACTGGGGCCAGAGAACCACTATTGCATTTTTAGTGGGTCAATTGTGATTTGTAGCATGTAACTCTTACAGTGTTGTCACTTTTTCTTTTAGAAGTGGCTGTTGCTGCTAAAAAGTGGATGTGAAGTGGGACCTTATTAGAAACTTATGGATGGAAACCTTTAGTCGCTAGTTGTTAAAGTAGTTTTATCTTCTCGGAGCTGTTTGCTAGTAGTCCAGGAAAAGAAGTGTGCTAAGTAGCTTCTGAATAGTGCATGTCAGTGGTGATGGACTGAGAGATATACCTTTACTAGATGTGGCAGTGATGGACAGTGTTCCCTAAGTTGTTTTTTTTTTAATACTAGTCAGAGTCTATTCCATCGTGTCAAACTTGAACTTGAACCAGCAGGCTTTCATCCAGCCTTTATTTGTGCCAGTCTTGGAAAGAGTAAATAAAGAGTTACGTCCAGACTGTTACTTGAGGACCATGCTGGGAGATGGCTTTGTTCTGTCTCAGTTGTCCTTCGCTCTCAGACTAATTATTGTGCAAGTGTATGCATCAAATGACACTTACCATCTGCTGCCAAATCCTTGGGATTCTCTCTGGAAAGCTGGTGCTTGGAATATTTGACCTCTCCAACACCACATGTGTGATCTATGCTGTGACTCACTTGGGAGGGCCACAGTTGGAGGGAGTAATACATACAGCCCTCTTCACTGTGGAGTATCCCTCACAGCAGTGAAGGATCATGCTTTGGTCTCTGCTGCTCTAAATATAGCACTTTGCTGTTAGCAGCACAGTGAAACTGGCTGTGTTTGCCTCACTCCCACTGTGCTCTAGCTGGTTTTTCTGGTACAGTAAGAGAAGTACTTTTCACAGATGTATGACAAGGGCATATCCTGAGGAAGGGAAAAGAAAACGGAATGCCTGCAAGAGCAAATGGTGTGGTTGTCATCGCAAGCTGATGGGATGAAAGGTGACTGATGCTGCTTGTGGGACTTGTAAGCAATCTGTGGTGATCTGGTGATATACAAAACTTTCATACTGAACTGTTTCCACTACTGTTCGCTCCTTTAACATGACAAAACAAAATGGGTTTTCAGGCAAACTAAGTTCTGTATACAGAATGGATTTTTTTTATCCTTCATTTTCCTCCTCTAAACTGACAATTGCTTTGGTTTGTTAAGCAGGAATGAATCTGTAAATGCTAAAATATACCATATTTTCTCTGCTTTCTAGAAGGCTTCTTATCCAAAGTCAGGTCAAAGACCTGTTTATTCAGTTGATAAACTCCCATTCACTGAAAAAGTCTCGGTAATGGGTTTTTTTCTAGTTTGCTTGTGGGACTATGCCCAGTCCTTTCCTGGAGGAAGATGAGCTACAGTATTGTGATTCAAGTGTGCATATAATTAAATCTTTGAAATTGTTTGCCAAACATGGCAAAAGGTGAACATAAATTGAGAAGAGGATGGATGTGGAGGAACACAATAAGAAAATGATGATGGTTTTAAATTGGGTAATGACACAACCCAATGCCTGATCTATAAATACCTGCGGAAACAACAAAGGAAACAAGTGGTTGTAGTTTAAGCAGTCATTTGTATATTTGTACAAAGGTGACAGTTAGCTGCTAAGACTGTTAGAAGTAATATGCCTTTCTGTCCCTAAATGTTTTGAGATTCCCTGCAGCCATAATAAAACAAGGCAAATTATACATTGAGTGCTGAAGTTTTTTTCTCTTGTTGCTCTAAATGGAGTACTTCCAGAATGGTCTCGGTTTGGTTTGAGGGCAGAACAAACCGTAGTACAAGAGCTGTCTAAAAATCACTTTGAGTAGTGTGTTTACTTGTGAAAAATATGCAGTTGGTCTCATCTGTTTTCAAGTACCAAAACTCTTACTGTGACTTTTTCAAACCTGGGATTCTACTGACCTGCCAATGCTGTGAAATTTCACTGGCTTAATGCTGATGTGTTTGTTGTGGTTTAACCTGGATAGGCAGCTCAGCTCCGATAAAGCCCCCTGCTCACTCCCCTGCAGGGATGAAGGAGAAAAATGGAAGAGTAAAATAAGAAAAATCTCAGCTTTAGGTAAAGTTGGTTTAGTAGGTAAAGCAAAAGCTATGTGTGCAAGCAAAGCAAAATAAGGAATTCACTACTTCCTATCAGCAAGCAGGTGTTCAACCATCTCCAGGAATGCAGAACTCCATCATTTGTAACATTGTTTGGGAACACAAACACCACAACTCCAAATGTCCCTGGCTTCATTCTTCTTTTTCCCAGCTTTTATTGCTAAGCATGTCATTATATGATGTAGGGTCAGTTGTCCAGCCTGTGTACTCTCCCAGCTTCTTGTGCACCCCCAGCCTGCTCGCTGGCAGGGCAGTGTGAGAAACCCTTGGCACTGTAAGCACTGCTCAGCAATAACTAAAACATCCCTGTGCTATCAAACTGGTCACAAATCCAGAACACAGAACCAAAGTGCTACTATGAGAAAAATTTAACTCTGTGCCAGCCAAAACCAGTACAATGTTCTGGCCTGAGAATGTGAGCATTGCTCATCCTGAATGTTCAGTTAAGTTGCTTTACCCTTTGGAAGGGAGCTGCTTTGATGACAGTCTGCAACTGTATTCATGAGTCTGGCTAAACTGATGAATTGGAGGCCAGTCTCTCCATAAAAAAAAAAAAAAAAAAAAAAAAAAAAAAAAAAAAAATTCCTCTCTTGGAAGGAAAGTGACAAAGACAGAGTGTTCCGCTTCCCCTCCTTCTCCAGCCCAGCCTGACCTTCTGCAGCCCCTCGGTGCCTCTTGTTTTCTTATTTTTATAGAAAATCAATATCCCTCCTGACACAAACAATAGCTCAGGCAAAAGAATAAATGGGGGAAACCTGAGATCTCTGTCCATCACCTCTCAGTTTAACTCCCCCAAACTATTTAATTATAAGCATGCTTTGCTTCAGGTGTTTGTGACAGTGAAATTGCTAAATGAGGACCATTTTAACCAAAGATTGGGTGATCAATAACACTCTATAGCAGTAGCTTGTTGGATCAATAGCATTCATTATTTCATGGTTAAGGTAAGTAGCCTCCTTTGCAAGTGGAGGTCATTAATCAGTGCTTACTGGACCTGCAGAAAGGCCTGCATAAGAGTCTAGTTTTTGTTCAGCCCTGGGGTACTGAAGAGGGTGAAATCCCTGAAAGTTTGTTCCTGTAAAGCACTAGCAGTGATGCTTATCTGTAAGGAACTAAAGACCTCTAAGTACAACAGGATGCTTAAAGTACTGTTAATATGACCTGGATGCTTGTCAATGCTTTTTCCTTTCTCAGGCACCTTTCCTCTGAGGATGCTAAAAACCTTATGAAGCAGTCACTCAGTCCTCACATCTGCAGCTTGTGAGGATTGTTTATCCAAGCTATCAAAAGGGAAAGCAAGCACGCTAGGAGATTGGCCCAGGGTCATACAGTCTGTTGGTAGGAGAGCTTGGGATGAAACAATTAATTCATGCTTCTCAGTCCTTGACCTTAATTGCTGTGGTATATATGTGGGAGGATGAATGCATGGCCAAGCTTTCTAATGGATTAATTTGGAATTTGATATTAACTTGCATGCTGGAAGGTGAGAATGCTAGGTACAGATTGTTTATCCTTTAAGTATAAATGGCCTTCATACAATGATGAAGATGCAGCATTTTAGATATCCAGCATGATGAGTTGACTTGGCTGTACTTTAGAGTGCATTTTGTAAGAACAACAATATACTCACAAAATAGAGTTTTATTCTGTGCCTGCAGTTCTTTGGAGTGACATATTTTGTGGTCTCTCATTATTCAGCCTTGTAACTCAAGGGGTTTCCGGTATCATCCGGTTTCCTTGGAAAAGAGGCATCCAGAGATACTTGCAAACAGCCTTCCCTGACTGATTCTAGTGCTGACTTACACTTGGTGTTCACATCTAAGGTCTTAGTGTTCAGGGAGTAGGCAGTAAGTAGTTTTTGCTTGTCCTAGTATCTCATAGCTAAATCAGAGGAAGTACTGCCTGAAGTGTCCAAGGAAGGAGTTCAAGTCAGCATTAAAGCCTTCAGATACTTGGGACTGACATGAGCATTACTTCTGCTACAAATATTCATCTAGCTTTGCAAGTCAGTTAATGGCTTTCTACACATTAATTTCTAGCTCTATTCTTTTGTTCAAGAATTAAATCTTTAACTGCTTCGGTAAAGGCAAAGCATGCTATGACAATGTTGCATTCAGCAGCAGCAAGTCATGCTATGCTAAGGTATTTAGCTGGAGTTTGTAAATGTCACAGCTGCTCTTTACTCCACGTAGAATAAAAGTTGTTGGGAGGGGAAGGCTGTTTGTGTGACAGTGTAACATTTTTGAGGAAAAGGAATCCGAAATAGAAAACTTAGGAGGGTTTTCAGTTAAGTGACCCAAGGACAGCATTTTTAACTGCGTTTAATTTCCTGGTGAGTATTCCAGATGATGCATAGTTAGGTTATTAATTCTAGTACCTGAGGCAAATGCTGTTTTATTAATTACTTCTTGATAACTTAGAACTAAACTAGATACAGGATTCTACTTTTTTTCAAGTGATACAGCATTGATAAGATTAATGGAAAGCAGTTCTGTTAAGTTCTGTTCTAGTGCCAGTCATGTATCTGAAATTCAGTTTCTGTGAGACATGTAAAGCATTTTGGTCTTGGAGAAGCTAGTAAAATGTAGTAGAGTGGTTTCTGTATTGTGCCTGTTGCAATTGTAACCATATTTTTTCTCTGTTTTTGTTCCAGTGAAACCAGCAGTGTTTGCAGCAGCAGTGATACTGGCCTGTTTACCAATGATGAAGGCCGCCAAGGTAACAGGTGTCCTGTGATTTTCCTCATATGCTGCTAGGGAGTTCCTTACTTTCTTTACAAATGCAAAGAAAGATCTATGTTTGAAGAGAGACAGGGAATTGTGTGAGGAAAAACCAGTGGCAGGGAGCAGCTAGAAGTTAAACAATGAGATGAGGGCTACAAATGTATGATTTTCATAGCATTACACCTTTTCTGATTAAATACTTCGTGTATCAGATCCATAATATTTGCAATATAAGAAGCTATTATTGTGCAAAGGCACAGACATACAAGACAAATTTGAGAGCTCTTCATAATGAAAAAGCAGGTTATGATTTGTTTCTCTAGGTGTTTTAAGGGTTGTCTACATACCATTAGTGCCTGAAATCTGTTAGTTGTTTTCTCTGTGGGGAGGAAGAGGAGATGAGAAAAAAATTACTTAATACTGACAAGTCACCTAATAGACTGTGTTAAGAAGATGATGGTAATATGTGATGGGTATTATTTCTTTAAATATGTGTTCCTTCCTTGCTCTTGTGTGCATTAGTTGAACATTGTATTTTCAATGTTTGTTGTAGAAATGGTATCTTAGAAGTTTTGAGTGTGAAGTGTAATCTGGTCTTATTTATCAGCCACAGCACAGTGTTCAGTTGATGTGGGCAGAAGTAAGTGTGAAATAGGTTGTCGTAGGCACACAGGCATTGAGAACTATTACATTTGGAGCATGTGGAATGTGACCCTAGAGACCTGCAATTCTGTGCACTCTGATTCTGTCACATTTCACAAGCTAAGATTTGGATGAGATCTCTTCTGGGAATATATGAGTGCTAAAGGAAGTAGCACCAGTAGCTCAATAGGATATGCTGCTTCCACTAGCTTGTTGATGGCCCAGGTACCTGTGTGAAGCAACACAATGATAGCAAACATGCTTATGTGTTTTCTGATGGTATTTTAGGCTATAGGACAAATCTGTGATCTTAGGGGAGTATAAAACTTTGCCTAAGAGTAGGGATTTCAAATATCAGCTTTGACCTTTGCTGAAAAATAACTATTTACAGACTCTGGTTTTTCAAAGGCAACAGAAAAGTAGAATCTTTTGCCCTCTCTTTTTACTGATAGATTGTTCAGGGGGAACTGAAATTAGTGAGCACTTGTATATTAGATGATGAAGCAGAATGGTGACTGAAATGTTTTACTTCATCACCTGAGATAAGATTGATGGAGACTGGGTAGTGTATATATGTACTTGTCTATATGCTTGCCCTATATACTTGCCCTGATTTTATACCCTCTTTTAGACGTTAATTTTTGGCTGCTACTAGAAGTAGGATGCTCAATATACAGGAACATGTAGAAATATGACTTAGATAAATTAATAAAGTCCAATTACAGCCTTCCCTGTCTAGGTAAGAGAGGAGGTTTGTCATCAGGTTCAAACAGTTGATACTGTGTTCAAACAGTTGATACTGTGATAGCTTTCTGGCCAAGATGTTTTAGCTTAGATTGCGGTTAAAGGGTTAAAAATATTGTTGCACTTCTAGACTAAATAAAAAATACCTCCTTTTTTTTTCTTGACAATTACTTAGTCATAAAGTAAATAAAAAAACCAACAGCTTTCCATGTCAGTGAGATGGAGAGAGCACAACATTTTGGGTTTTTTTTTTTGTCACAGATCATCACTTTATAGTTTTCCAGCACAATTACAGGCTGAATAATGGGAAATTTAAGCTGGCAGCGTTCTTCAATAAATGCAGTTTTTTCCCCTCCTCCTTTTGAGGTTGCATCATGTAATATTTGTGCTGTTGCTAATTAAATAAATTGTCTTTGCAACTGCACATAGCAGCACAGTTTTGTGAGCAGAAAATGATCCTGGTTCATAATTTGATTGTAAGGTGGGTTTTTTTGGTTTTATATTTGTTACGTGCTTTGGAATCTCTCACAGTGACATTACTGAATATTAGTATATGATGCTGATTGTTAAAGTTTGTCTTGTGAAAACAGCCATTTGAGGTATGGCAGGGCACCATGCCCAAATTTCTAGGAGTAATTTTGCACAAATTATGATGTCTTAGGAGAACTATCCAACATTACTTAGTTTTATTTTACTATGAAGTGGAGATGGGATTTTTATACTTTAAGATATAACTGGTAGGTCAACTTGATGCATGACAGAAATAACTATGTCAGAACTTTGGGATAAAGTTTTCTACCTGTTGCTGATCAGAGTTGGTTTTGTGTATTGCTTCTTCTGTTATGTGCAAGATTGCAGCATTCTTACTAGGATGAGGTGTGTTTTTTTTTACTTTCTTGTGTTCTTTTTTTTCTTCCTTTTTTCCTTTTTCTTTTTTTTTTTTTTTTTCCCCAGCAAGATGTGTAAGTAGGCATAGTGGACTTTGGTCAGGAATAATGTAAGTCAGTGAGGAAAGGAGAGTAATAGGGATGCTTGAGTTGAGGCTTAATGGTAGGCAAATGAGAATTTTCCCTAAGATCGGTGTGTTAGTTTTTTAGGGCAAGATGAAGCACCTTGCAATTACATGGGACTGTTTGTGAATTGGGCTACTGAAATGCTACGTGTGTCAGGTTCTTTGCTCTCCTCCTGCTTTTTTTTCGTACACTGCTCATGTGCTACTGCTCTCAGGGAATTTCTGGCCAAACGGATTTACTGTGAACAGTGTCTGATGCAGTTCAGTTTTAGACTGCAGCTGCATTAACTATATCAACCCAGCTCCATGGAGACTTTGGTCATGACTTCTGTTGCTGCTGCCTTAGTTTTCCAAAGGGTTTGTAGTTCTTAGAGATTCTAAGAAGGTGATTGAGAGCAACTCACAGCATGGTTAGTACTTAGAGTGACCATTTCTGATAGTTACATGTTTTTGTCTTAGCTGATGTCTTAGGAGACTAGGGGTCTTTCTCATCGGTATCTTTCTTTTACTTTTACACCGTGAGCCTGGTCTTCCCTTCTTGTGAAGTTTCTCCTGTGACAGCCTGTAACACATGCCAAATGATTGGCCTCTGCTGGTGTTGCAGTAATTACTTCAGAGAAAGAGTTCTGCATCAGACATCACACAACATTGAACTAAGGTTGATGAGATGCAGTAGCAACAGAGTGCTAAACCTGCCCTAGGCAGGTCTATAAAGAGGCTTTGTTCTGCAGGGAAATTCTGGAGACGGATGAGTTAGATAGTTTAAAGCGTTTAGTGAGCCCCCATAGTTACTGAGGATCATTGAAACAGAATACAAATATAAGGCTCTTCAAGAACGAATTCCTAATGAGACTTCAGCTGTTTCACATTCAGATATGCCTACTTGTAGTATTTTGAGGGACTGTCCCAGGGTATCTTGATGTTATTTGTGGTTAATTCCATCCTATTTCTTTAGGAGATGATGAGCAGAGTGATTGGTTTTATGAAGGAGAGTGTGTTCCAGGATTCACTGTCCCAAACCTTCTTCCCAAGTGGGGAGCTGATCACCGATCTGAAGTGGAGAGGATTGACTCAGGCCTGGACAAGCTCTCTGTTTCCACCTTCCTTTTGCCCCCACAGCCAGCTCAGAGAGGTGAGGTCCATAAGGAATTGTGTTTGAGAACTTGTGATATGATGGCAAGAGTAGATTCTTTTCATAGGTGTTGCATTTAAACTTGTATTGGTGATCTATTTGGGATTTTTTAAAGATCCAGTTAAGAAAAAGCTGCACTATTGGTGAGTTTGCTGAAACAGTCATACCAGCTGCCCACTGGCAGTCTTCTTTTTTTAAATGTAAGGATTTAATTTGATTTGTGAATAAACTGGCATATCTGCATCTTCAAGACTGAAAAACAAGAGACAGATGATCTGATTTGATTACTGAACTAAGGAGTTTTCTTGGTGGCTTTGTCAGGAGAAATCTTCTGTGTTCATTGCTCAGTTTTTCTGCATTTGGTTTTCAGGATTTCATGCTCGCCTGAATCGCCTTCCAGGAGCTGCTGCCCGTTGTCTCCGTAAAGGTCGGAGAAGGCTGGTTGGCAAGGTATGCCCTTTTGAAAGATGGTAATTTTGTATTTCAAATTCTGGTCAGTCCTGAAGTACTATTCTAAGATGCCACATAAATTGTTTTCTGCAGAGAGTGGTCCTGTAAATGTTTTGTTTCATGTATTGCTTGATTTGTTTAACTGCTTTGACTGTCAGGAGATGATTGAGTGATTAAGTGGATTTTAAGGCACATTTGGAGTGGCAAAGACAGCTGATCAGTGCTGAAAGCAGTATGAAAGGAGGCCTGAAGAAGAATGTCAGGGAGCGTAAATATCAAGAAGATTTAGACAGAATGTAGGGGGAAAATGATGATGGCATGAGACTTGTGCATGCTCATCAGAGACTACAATGGCAGAGAGGTGCTTCAAAGGTGAAGGAAGGCCAAATTTTATATAGGGAAGAAGACTGATATGAATGTCAGCAAAGGAAGGTGGTTTTAGCAGTTGCATTTTTAGTGGGAAGACAGGAGAGTAAAAAGGTGTATGCAGTAAATGCAGACAAAGCTGCCCAAAGCTATTGACTAGTTTTATTACACGTAGGGCAAGCACCAAACAACATACCAGTCCTTTTTCTAATAGAACAAACAATACTTTGCAGATGTCTTTCTAGAACAGAGGGGTACACCTGGTTGGGTCTGCATTCTGGAATTCTGGAGTATTGAGCACTGCTGTTCATTGTAAAAGATGATTCTGAGAAGGAAGGTGTTGGCTGTGTTTGGCTTTTGTTTTTATTGTGATGTGCTCTGTGCTTTTGAAAACATTGGCATAAGTTCTGAGCTGGCTGGCTGTAGTCTGCTAACAAGGTGTGTTAGGGGGGCCTGGAGTCTAGAGGAGTGCGACAGCTGCCTTCTGTTCAGTCATACTTGAAAGATCCTTGTCTGTCCCTTCTTTCTTCCACTCGCATTGCTTAATTGTAACCGGCATTCAAAATATGAATCCTCAGCTGGCAAGAAACTGACTTTACGTAGGGTTCCTGAGGCCACCTGCGAGTGACTGGGCCTGGTGGCACACCTCTAATGATCCAAATGAGAAGGATAATATTTACTTGTTTAATTCATCTTCATCACCTTAAAGGGATCTTTGTCATTTGCAGCGGAGGTCACTGCTCCCCCTTCCCCATCTCTCTCAAAATTGTAATCATAAATAATGAGTTTCATTCAGAGCTCCCCGCCAGCGAGCTGCTAATTACCAAAAGTACAGCTTGTAATTTACACAGTAATAAACTGTAAATTTAAACATTATGGCACTTTAAGTTAATAATTTTCCTGCTGTAACAAATAGCCCATCTTTCACCCTTGCTGCTACAGCTGCCCCCAGATTTTGAATGTGTTTTGCCTATGTACCTCGCACAAATTAACCTTACCTGTGGAAGACTTTTACCCTCATCTTCTGCCCCTTGCTGGAAAGTATACTTCTTTCTTGGAGGCAGTTGCTATGCAGATGTGAACAGCTGGTGCTTCAGGCTGTGTGTGTACGTGTATGCCAGCATCGAGCATATACACAAGGCAGCATCTTGCAGGAAGCAACATGCTCCCAGAGCAATCCCTTTCTCTCAGGACCTGCCTTTTCTTTAGTTGCTGGAGGTCCTGCTGCGAATTGCTGCTTTCAGAAAGGGCAAAAGCATCATGCTTTACTCCTTAATAAATATTCATTGGTGGTTGGTGAATCTCCACTGTTAATGGAACAGTGTAGTGTCCTATCTCAGCCTGTTTCTAGCCCATCTGACCCCAGTAACAGGGAAAGAAGCACATCCTAGCTGCCTCTCCTGCTCTCATGCATCCTTTTGCTGCATATCTTTTTCTAGTCCAGTTTATGGTGTGCCCTGTGCAAGCAAATATCATCACTGAAAATAAAAAACAAGCCTCATAAATAAAATTGAATTATTTTCTGCCATGCTAATAAGTTAAATAATCTCAGGTGAAGTTCTAAAAGGAAGGAGTAAGCATGTTTAACTGAGAGTGGGCTGGTAAGGAAAGGATGTGACGCAGGGGAATAAGATTTATTCTTACTGGTAGCAGCAAACTGTTCTCTGTTCACTGTATGAGTTTGCAACCTTTTGCCTGTCTTTCTGTTTCAGGAGACCTCCATGAGTACTCTGGGCACCGAGAGGCTAGGTCATATTGTTAGTGATCCGCGCCAGAAAGAGTAAGGCCCTTAACAATTGTTGTATAGAACTTTGGGAAGGGAAGAAGAGCTGTAGGATCCTCTTCCCTTCTGGGGGTGAAGAACATGAAGAACTGGGTGGACACTTAAGCATAATCTGTGGAATGGGAGACAGTATTCTACTGATGGCTTCTCTGTTTTGTTACTCGTAATTGCTGACTTCCCCTTTGTTACATATTTATATAAGGCTGCCCCAGTGCGTGGATGCTACTCAAATACTCCTTTTTTACAGTCAGCTTTTTTTTTTCATCCTCCCTTATAATGTGCCATTGCATTAACTGCATGTCTATTGGATATTAAGAGAAGACTGAGCCCCATATGTTCATTTTTTAAATGCTTCTTTGTGGAGCTGTACTATGGGCACATACCCAGACTGCAGAAATGGTGCTGACAAGGCAGCTGTGAAATTACTTTTTCTTTCTTTTTTGTTATGTCTCCTTCTACAATTAGTGTATTTAAATTGTAGTCAGCACTGGAAATAGTCTTGGTGCTTATCCTTTGGCATCTCCCTAATGCTGTTCTGGGGAATGGGTAGGTAAGGATGGTATGTCTTGACTGTAGTGCAGTGGGTCCAGTCTTCACTAGCTGTTGATACCTAATTTTCTTCCTTGAGTCTGAAATTTATTGTTTTTAATATGACTCCTGATGATGTTTAATCTTTTTCCTTCTCCCTTCATCTTTGTTCTTCTTTTTTTCTTCTTTTCTTATCCCCAACCCTCCTTCCCCGCCCCCCACCCCATGTTCGTTCCTTGGCATTGTGCCCACCTGTCTTTTCGACTCTGCCTCCTTCCAGTTTTTGGTTACCATCCACGGGGAAGAGAGATCGCAACCAGGTAAGGTAACTCTGCTTTTCCTTTTTTCTTTTCTTGGTTTCCTTCTCTCTAGAAAGAACACAATGCCTGCTTCTGATTTCGCACACACTGTGGCCTGTGCACTTGAGGTAAGGCAGTCCTGTCCCTTCTCATTTTGTTAACTGATGTCTTCTGGACTTGGACCCATTTTCTGTGCGTTGTATTGTCTATTTAAACTGAATAGCTTAGGAACTCCTTTTATTTATCTCCCTGTTTCAGGTTAGTGTTTGCCATCCTTTCTGACAGTGAGTGCAAGGGAAAATGCCTCTTGACAGGAGGAGCTTTGGCCTCTCAAAATTCCATAAGAATTGGAACATTTTTCTCTTTTTAAATGGTTTGTTTTGCCGTGTTTGGCTCAGGCTTCTACCTGATAGTCTCATCCACAGAGAAGGGAAAAAAATGGTGAACTTAAATTATGTAGTTAAATAGCTGTAACAGGAAAATGTAAGAGGTGATAAGCAAGAGAAATAGGCATTCCTGTAACTGAAACTCTTGTGTGTGCACTTTTATATTCTTTAGTAAGTCTTTCTTAGCTTCAGTGCTAGGAGGTTTTTTGTTTTTGTTTTAAGATATAAAAGCTCAGGTTCTTAATAGCAAAGAGAAAAAAAAACCTACTCTTCCATCTGAGCAGTCATGTTGTAACATGGCCATGCACACTCCTTTCTGTTCCGATGTGAGTTATTTTATGGTTGGTGAGCAGTAGGACTGAATTTTTTTTAAATTTCAGGTGACTAAAAATGCATAATTTTCAAACCTTTGTGCAATTGTGTATTTTCCATTAGTGAGAGCATTTTACAGATTGCTTTTATATTACTATAATAATACTCTTGTCTAAAGATAAGAGTAACTACATAAGCTTTAAAATGACCAAAAGTAAGTAACTTTTATTTTTCTTAAATGAACTTGAATCAGCCATTCCAGTAACAGAGGGTTCCTGGTGAGGGTTCCTGGTGACTCTCCCTACTGTGCAGTTGCAGTGTTACTGACAATAAATGAGCGGTCCCACTTAAGGAGGAGCTCCCTGATAGCAGCAGCTTTGTGGTGCATCTTCTTTCTCAGAAAGGTGGAGGGTAAAAGCCTAGTACTGACTTCTGAAGTTGCAGACAGCTTGTATGAGGAGTCCAGCTACAGGTGTGGATTGTTCCTTTGTTCTTATTTAAAAATGCAAGAGAAGTGTTCTGGAGATTGGTGTAGTACTTTGCAAAGCAGATGGAAATTCATTTTGTGCTTGAGGTGTGAATTATAAATAAAGAGGAAATGCCAAATGGAAGTATAAAGCAGGTACCCTAGAGAAACTACCAGTCTAAAGCTTCTATTTACATAGTGAGCAAAGTTTGTTCCATGCATTGATTGACCAGATTCTTCCATTTCTGTCCTGACCATTAAAAATCCTGACCACTGCATTTTGTACAACAGGCTGTCTTGCACAAGTTTGATGTCCTCAAGATTTGTCTAGTGTATGTCTAACAGAGTATCTTAGACTAGCCTGACCATGCATTGTTTCAAAAGTTTGTTTTAAGCAGTTTGCAAAGATAGCTTGTGAGGTTGGAGAGGAGTGAAGGAGCAGCTCACTTGCACTGGAATGAATTGGGTGCTCATTGGGAGCTTAACCTGGTGGACCTGTGTCTTCTAGAGGTCTGTTTCAGTGATATACACAGCCCTTGGGAATACAGGAACTGCCCTGTGCTTGCACTATTCATAACAGTGACTTTTTTCTCTGCAATGTGAAGGTAGACAAGAGGCTTTCTGAAAGAGAACTGGATTTTTTTCTCATGGCATGCAGCAATAGAACACTTATGCTCTTAGTCAATCAGCATTTTTAATAATGCAGGCTGGAAGAAGAGTGTGCTGAGGCTGTCTGTTGTGAGAAGGTAGTTATGAGATTTGCTGTTCCACCCTTTGTGCTAGCCTTTTGTCTGAACTGAGAGTCTGTTCTCATCTAGTCTTACCCCTTGATGTGCCAGAAAGGTCTCCTTATAGTATGTGAAATGCTGAAAGTCTCCTTATACTGTGTGAACAGAACAGATCTGAGGAGCTTTATCTGGACACTGTTTCTTTCAATGCTTTGCTTAAATAAAATCTCTTGACTTTACAGTTCAATCCATTATCTCCTCTGTACTCTCTGGATGTGCTTGCTGATGCTTCCCACCGAAGATGCTCACCAGCACACTGCACTGCCAGGTAACTCCCTTGCTCTGCTTTCTTGGGGATGCCTCACTTCCCTCTCCTGGATGTTTTCAGTAGTACTGTGTGACCTGAACAGGAGTGGACCTGTAACTTAACACACTTTTCCCTGGGAAGTCCATGTCCAAACTTAGCACAAAATGTAGCAATGCAGTTTATTTGAGAATTTCAATGAACTAAGTGCTTGCAGTATATGAAACGGTGTATGACAGCCAGGCAAAACATACTGTTCCTTTAGAAGTAACTGCAATGGATTCTGAAATGTGCAATGAGTTGCTGCAAGTCTTTTTTTATAGGTACAAATGGACATAGTATCATTGCCCACTATTAAAACTGGAACAAGATGAGAGGGAAAATGCTGACAAACTGGTGTGGGTGACATGCTGAAGCATTTTGCTATCTTAGGTGTCTAAAATAGACCCTCTGAGCAGATTAAAAACTCACCTGAGGTGACCTCTAATGGCTTGATACCTCTCTATAGCAATAGCTGAAATTTAGATCTGGTTTGGCCAGATGTTAGGTGTATTTGAGTCTGCATAGTTTGGGTTAATATACTATTCAGGCACCTTCTGCTGACTAATCCTAAATTAAATACAAATGTTGGCCTTAGAGGTGACTCCTGGTTTTGTGCTGCTTGTGACTGTCTAAAGGTAAGGTGCCCTTGAGCACTTTTGCTGTGCAGGTAGACAAGGCCTTGCTTTGGACACAGTTCTGCTTATGTGCTTGTTCAGGGGCCCAGTCTGAAAGAAATGTCTGGACTTTCAGCTTCATGGCTTTCTTTCCCTTGTTAATTGGCAAATAGAGCATGAAAAATGTACTAAGGTTGTATGTGTCTGAACAGAAGCTTGGCACCCACCCAGCAAAGCCTCTCTTCCCACTGGCTTCTGCAGGGAATTTTGCGATGTCGCACCATGACCTCATGCTGCTGTAAGCCAGCATGTTAAAACTGGAAAAGGGGAGGGAAGAAGAAGTCAGCTCTTAAATGTTCAACTGTATGAGAGCAAAAGGAATTCAGAAGATTGTGCATCAGCAAATTGATTTCCTTTCTGTGCTTTTGCCCCACTCTGGAGATGTTTTCTGCCTGTGAAGCAAGAAGACTGAATGGTCTCTGCATTTTCAGCTAGGATAACATTTCTTTTGCCTCCAGTGTTTTACTTGGTGCTTTATAGAAGTTTGTCTTCCAGAAAGGTGAGCTGGACAAATCCTGCTTGCAAATTCAAACTGGGCAAAATCTCTATCTTTATGATGGTCAGTGAAGGCCCTTTGCAAAGCCAAGCTCTTTGCAAGGGATTTCTAAACCTGGAGGGATTGTGTCTGCCAGGGTTTTCTGGGTGTCTAGTTAACCAGTTAATATATATGTTTGGTTCTCTCTTCTAATGAACAGATGGCTGGTGTCCTGACAAATATAATCACTGATGAGTTGTTACTGAGTTGACAGAGAAATTGTACCATCCCAGATGCAATAGTGTTTTTAAATGCCTGGAGTTTGAGAAAATAGTTCCTATTTTAGTGTGGAATGTGCTCAAGAACCTTTATAGGAGAAAGAAAGAATGAGTGTGTTTTGTGACCCCAAAACACACTGGGGCCACAATGTGGCAAAGGTTGAACTCTGGTACAAGGAGCTTCCTTTACATAAAGATGCTGCTAAGGGCACAGAAGGAGATTGTTCCTTCAGAGAAACATCTTCCTGATAGTAGTTCTTCTTCAGCTTTACATACCAAGCATACTCATTAGTAGTCCATTTTCTTACAGGAGGTTCATCTGTAAGTTCAGATAAGCTATTGCCCCAGTTAACATCTCCTGCTTTTGCCATGTAAGGAATCAATTTCAGTAGTTTGTGCTTCAGGAAGCTTCTAACAGCTTGCACCTCATCCTGGAGAAATTCTGCTCTGAAATTTGCCAGAATGGGATGTGTGTGTGGGAAGCAAATCCTCTCAAATAATATGAAACATATTGGAAAATAAATGGTCTTGATCTTGTGGCCATCCAGTTTCTTCAATCTGATGCCTGCTGTGCCATGCAAAATCTCCTTTTTCTGCTTTGTTTCTGCTCTGATAAAGTGTGTCCAGTGGAGTATATTTACCAAATGGAGTCTTTTCTCTGCTATGGAACTGTTTTCTTTGTCTCACTGGTGGATTTTGGTGCAGTTTATCTGGAAGACTGGTGACCCAGTACTTTTGTTTAAGCAGAGCTGAAGGCCAGAATACTGAGTGCAGCTGAGGATTGAGAAGGAACCTCCTCCTTGACACTGACAAGCCCATGTGGAAGGTTCCTTGGGAAGTCTTATTTGAAAAGCAGTATAAATCCTACACTACCTTTCTTGATTTATGTCTGTGATGAGAAGAGCTTTCATTCAAAGTGTGTGCACAGCAGTGGGAATTTCACACCCATCATTAGAAGCAGTTTTGTGTGTGTGGTGACTGTTATCATTAGTGGTGTAATTTTATTTTGTGAAGCAAGGAGAGTTTTCTGCTTTCTTGCAGTCTTCCCAAGGGATGGCTGTTGTATTAATTTGCTGTATTGCCTCCTGGCTGTTCCCAGACTGTTTTTCCTCTTCATCATGGAATTTTTAATGGCCCTGCTGCCTCTCGGGAGGCATGCAAGGAAGAGTACCTCAGGGATCTCTTCTTTTTTCACATGCCTATAATTACTCTCCTTTAAGAGCACAAAACGTTTGCTAATCATGTCTTGTCTGTTAAGGTTTTGACTTCACGATGCAGACTGCTAAAAGCAAGCAAGTAGAGACTTAATGGGCAACTCAAGGGATCCTTCCCTCTTTCCCCTTTGCCTGTTTGCCTCTCTGGGAGGAGTGGTCTGAACAGAATTTTGTTGTTGAGCTTCTACTTAAGAGGATTTTGTATAGGCTGAAGTTTAATATTTTATTAGATGTTGGTTATTCAATATTCTATAGCTGAGAAGATGTTGTAGGTTGTTAGTTGATGGAATGCTATTCCCTTGAGGCAGGATAAGAGGCAGGAGAAGAGCCTAGAACCAGTGTTCCCTTTGATTTGAATAGCAGGCAGAATAAGACAGGAAGGTAGAAGATATATTGTCCCTAATGCCATTTATTATTTTCCTAGCTTTGAAAATAGGATTATGAGTGAAAAAAAGCAATTAAATGTTCCTGCTGGAGGTCATAGGAAAAGTGGACCTTGGATGGCAGGCAGATGTTGAAGGTGGAGACTTGAAGAATTGTATTAGACTTTTGAACAACATAGATAAAGAAAATTGCTCTGCAATGTTAATACTAACTGTAAATCTAGAGTGTAATCTGATTTGCAAGCAAGTCTGTCATCTTGTCTGGGACATGGGATAAAGATGTAGAGGCATGAGTGATCTCATTTACTGCCAGTTGCCCCATACTCTGGGTTTGGTGGTGCTGTTAAATTGAACAGACTCAAATGTCTTAAATTCTAGTTCTGGCTATGGAAATACTCTTATGAAAATAAATATTGTTCTGTCATTTCTGTATCTGTACACAGAGATCTTGATATTTCTACCTCTTACCAAGTACGTGGAAGTACAGGAGGGATTGCCTGCAATGTGAGGCCTTTTCTGAGGCAGCTGAAGGAGTGAGCAGATGTTCACAATTTCATACTTTCCCGCTTGAGCACTATCCAGTGCATTCTAGGCAACCTTTCTCCCTATTTTTTACTCTTTTTCCATTTAGTTGGAGGATTTTCATGTCTTTCTTTGCTAAAGCCTGGCTAATATTCCAGTTGGGAATATAACTGAATTCTTCTGACAGGCATGCAATGAACAGCAGCTATCAACCTAGTGTCACATGCAGTCGACTGGGGCTGAATATTCCCATTTTGATGAATCCTAAATCTCTGGAGTGAAAAATAAATTCCCCTTGGCTTCAGAATTTTTTTTACTTGCTATTTCAAATCTGTGTACTCAGCATATCTAGCAAACAGTAGGAGTCTTTCTGGCACAGTTACAGTGTGATTCAGTGTGAAAATAGGGAATATAATATATGGGATTACATCTTGGTTTGGAGTGCTTACATGGAAAACAAGAAGAAAATGCATTCACTTGAATTTGCCACATGCAGACTTTTAGGAATGAAATTGCCACATCATTATAATGCTTACTTGGGCAACAGACTGCTGCTGTTGAAGATCTATGAGATTTGGATGATTGAAGAAGTGAGCTGACCTATTAGAGATTTTGGAATCTGCAAATGTGCTCTAGAAGCCTTCCCAAGAGGCTCTGCAGGACACAGGAGACTGCTGTGCATTGGGAATATCTACACTGGGATGTGATAGCAAGAACCACTTGTGCTTGTGAGAGCTTTGCATGCAGATAGGATGAGCAACTTGTATTGATTTACACATGTTATGTGCAGATTAGACTGGTGCCCAGCTGGCTCTGTAGTCAAAGGGGAGGAAGAATTCTGCTTTTACTATTAATTTTGTGAAGCCATCATCAACAGCCTCAGGTAACACCTCAGGGCGTAGAGAAAGAGCCTTTCATTTGGTTTGTGTTTGCCCTGAATAAAGCATCACAACAGCAACGGCTGGGTTGTGTGGAGTTTTAGTAGCAGTATTTTTGTTAAAAGGCAGTCTCTATTAACATTCACTTTAACATGATGATAATAACATCTCTTGTTTTTATAGTACTAGACTAATGACTGCCTCTCACTTTCACTGTATAATCCACGTGCTTTGCTTCTTCTGAGGATAGGGTTAGAATAAAGAGTGTAAGCAGACAAGCTGGATGATGTGAGATGACAGCCAGAGGCATACACCCACAAGTGTTCCTCTTGCCTCCAAGAAGGCCACAGGTTGTCACATTTAGCTCGGTATGGCCTTTTCAGAGACCTTTGTTGTGAGACTGAGCTGGTTTTTACCCTGAATTTTAAAAGAGTGGGCTTCATGCTACAGTTTAGACTTCACAGATGGTGAAGTTTTCAGGGTCCTGATGCTGACCAGTAAGATTCTTTGTGGGCTGGTGTCTGCTTGGGCTCTGTATTGTCTCCCACAGATTATAGTGCCAATCCTAATTTTCTGTTGAAATACTGTGGTAGATATAAAAAGTGGCCAGCTCCAGTGCATGGTCTCCTCAAACTGTACAAGTGAGATGGGAGTCCTGTGTATGCAAGTGCTGATCATTAAAAATCATGTAAATAAAGTCATAGAATAAATACGTGGAAAAGAAATGAAAGGAAGCGTTACTTCTGACACATTAGAGACTACCATGAATTTCATCTTTCTGCATAACAAAGTCTGTTTTTTCTCCAGCGTGACCTGCATACAGAATTGGGTGCCATAAGTACTATTTAAAAACAAAAGACACAAAGTATTTCCTGAATAATTCCTTTAGATTGTCATTACAAAAATATTATCACTGTCAAAAAAAACACTATAGACTTTTCATATTGTTGAAAGCCATTTTTCCTACACATGTGTAATTTTTCACTCACTAACTCCTGGCAGTGTCTGCTGTGTGAGTTGAATATATTGCAGCCAACAAAACAGTCACATTTTTGATCCTGATATGTTTCTCTAAGTGTGTTCTGCTTTTTCTCTTCCAGGGTTAGAATTTCAGTCATCTCTAGATTGTAAACTACATTTCATGTTAGTCTCTGGCCACCTGGCAGATCCACCTGTAACTAAGCACTGCAACTTTGTTTTTTTTTTCTCATGATAAACCTATCGTAGTCCAAAAGAAATCAGGGAATTATCTTCTCATTACTGTTTATGCAAAATTAAAGAAAGCATGGAGGGCTAGCAGAAGGGATTGAAGGCTAGTAAGGACAGTGTCAGTCCTATTCTAGTTTGTAAATTTAGGTCCAGATCTTTCATCTCACAAAGTTCTGTTCTCAAACTTCTTCACAGAGAGGGCTGTGACAATGCACAAATGCATTTTCTGTCAGCCTTCCCTGTTCTAGTCTACTTTAGAGTATTTTTTAACTGTTCAGAAGAGGTGTTAAAATTTAGCTTTGGAAGGAGAACTAATTCATCATTGCAACTTGTGATATTTTTACGTTTTATAATTCAGCCTATCCATTGCTATGTTGGGTACTGTGCATATCCATGACTTGATTTTCCTAGTGATAGTGTCTGTAGGAGTCTATAGGAGTCTGCTGTTAAATTGGGATTCACTAGTTCTATTATTTCACTGAAATAGACCTTCATGGAAGCTAGTGATTAGAAATTTACACTGAAAAGTGTGCTATCTACCAAAAAAAATCTCAATTTTTCATAGTTATACCTCAGACATCCTTTCTGTCCAGGCTTTAATGAGGACTCTCATCCCTGAATGCAGTCTTCGCTCTTCTCTCTCCCAAGGTACTTACCACCTGGAGATTCCCTGCAGATTTATGGTGCCTGTAAAGTGCACCAGCCACTTGAAATGACACTTTTACCACTGGGTCAGTCAGAGCCAGTGAATAATCAATAGGTTCCTGATTTACTAACTGAAGTGTGGTGATCAATAAGGGATAAATCTGGAAGAAAAACATGTTACAGAGACAATTTATGACCTCTGAGCCTTTGTATCTTAGAGGCAGGTCTACTAGATACAGCATTCTTGCTAGTAGTCTTCAACTGAACTATGATTAGCCTTGACTTTTACTACAAGAAGGGATTCTGAAATTCTTCTGTTTTCATCTTTCTTTTTTTTTTACCCTTTTTATAATCATCAGGTAAGGGTAGTTGTTTGAGTATGTAGCTGAGAACCAGGAGCTTTTATGCAAAATCTATCTGTAACATTTGTGAGCTGGGAAAATTGCATAAAGTCTCTTGGAAATGATAGTGCATAGTGACTCTCCACCAAAGATCAACTGGCTAATGTTGGTGTATGTTCTTAAAATTAAAAAGGGAACATTTAAAAATAATTTTTGTTGTTATATTATTTAAAATTAATTGGATTATTATATACAATTATGTAGTCTTGCAGTTAGTAATCTAATACTGTGTCACTGATGCAAAATAAAAAACTGAATATTTTATTCAGGCTGTGTGTGTTTAGATGTTTCAGAATACATGGTTATAGCTATGTTACAACACTATGGGCACTATTATAGTAATGTACAAAAGCAGTTTTTAGCATCCACAAAGTTGCTTACAAACATGAGATTTGAATGTGCATTCTGTAGATGTGCTAGTATTTTTGAAAGCTTTTTACCTCTAGGGATGGTTTCTCTAACCACCTGCCTGGGCAGTTCATTCCAATGTTTGACAGCCCTTTTCTTTGAAGAAAGTCCTCCTGATATCTAACCTGAACCTCCCCTGATTCAGCATGAGGCTATGTCTTCTCATTCGTCTGCCAATTGACTGGGAGAAAAGACTGACCCCCACCTGGCTACACCTCCTTTTAGGTAGTTGTTGAAAGCAATATAATCTTCCCTGAGCTTTCTTTCCCCCAGGCTAAACAACCCCAGCTTCCTCTGTTGCTCTTCACAGGGCTTGTGCTCTGGACCCTTCACCAGCACCATTACCCTTCTCTGGACATGCTCCAGCACCTCAATGTCTTTCTTGTAGTGAGGGGCCCAAAACTGGACATAGGACTTGAGGTGTGGCCTCACTGAATAAAGGGGAGTGATACCTTCCCAGGTTCAACTGGCCACAATATTCTTGATCCAAGCCATGATGCCACTGGCCTTGGCCACCTGGGCACACACTGGCTCATGTTCAGCCACTGTTGATCAGCACCCCCAGGCCCGTTTCCTCTGGGCCATTTTCCAATCACCTTTCCCCCAGCCTGCAGTGATGAATGGGGCTGTGGCCAAAGTGAAGGATCCAGCACTTGGTCTTGGTGAGTTTACTGAGAGTACACTCAATCCCCTCAGGAGAGTTCTTTGACTGGTTGTATTAATATGTGCTCCCAGATTTGAAAAACTGGCTATCTGTGAAACATAGCACTATTTAAAATTTTTTGAAACTATTCTTCAATGTCAGATTTAGAGGACAGATTTATAGACTTCTTGTAGAACTTTTGAATTTTAGTTGAGAAGATGGAACAGTAAGTATTTCCTTTTTTTTGTGGTTGCACTTTTTTTTTCAGGTAAGTAGATAGACCCAGCAGCATTCAAACAATTTATAGACTGGACTAGTATAGGAATTTATTTGTGATCCCTGCACTGTTCTATATAGACACAATAACACAATTTGGTTTTGCATAAATACAGCATCTAAAATAATATGTATTGTAAATATATGGGTTTGATTTTTTTAATAGATTTTTGTCATGGAAATTAAAACCCAAGAAGTTTTCTTTCTGTTATATTTCAAAGACTTTAGTACATGATAAAAGTGTTTGTTAAACTTCCAGGATTTAAAAAAAAACCTCAAAGTAACAAGCTTTGAAGGCACTGAAGCTTTTCAGCACTTAATCATCGAAACTTACAGGGTTACGAATTTTACATCATATAAGCTCTTCACAGTCTTTAACTGATTTTATTTGCACTGTACTGCATTTCAGATCTGATACTGCACATCAGATCTGATTATAAGAGAGACCAAGAAACTTGCCAACAGAAGTCTGTTATATTAGACAAAGAAGGGATTTGAACCCAATATCATTGCTAAATTATGCATTTATATTCATTATGGACAGTATTTGAGGAAGTTCTCTGGTCTGCTACAAAGACTATTATTTCTGAATTAAACTTTTCTGCTTTCTACAGCTATATGATTTGGAGGAGTTCTCAACTCAAGTCAGTTCCAACAGTACAGATTTCTTCTTCATTGGCAAATGGCTACTTCTTAATTGACAAATGATTAAACTGAAACAGCCATTAGTAGGTTTCAGACTTAACCGTTGATATTAACAGGACAGATCATGCTGTTCAGCCAGTTTAGAGGTGCAACAAGGCTGCCATAACTCAGATTCAGCTGTTTGCACAGCACTTTAATAAGGAAGTAAGAATTTTAAAAATGCATGAGACAGTTTTGCATTCCTAACTTTACAAACTTAGTATTATAATGGAAACAACATGCACTGGCATTTGTCATTATAGGTACATTCTAAGATGACTCTACAGTACCAAATAGATTGCAAAATAATCTCTGACTAAGGCGAAAATATCACACAGTTTACATAAAGAGCAGTCTTGCACACATTTGTTATTCTTGCATAGAAGTAATGGTAGGACACATGTCATATCACTGCTTGATTACATCTTTATGTATGCAAGGAGTTAGTTTGGAGTTAATACAAAACCAGAAGGTAAAAGGCTTTAAAGGTTAAGAAAGAATTATTCTTCTGAATAGTTTTTGTGTGAGCTGTTAAAGGAAATAGGAATATTGCCAAAGAATATGAGCAAAACTCCCTGAGAAACTTTTGGGTTGTGCTACTTACTTTGGGAAAGTAGGAGCTGGAGGTGACTGGTCAGTCTTACAGAAATGTGATATTGGAACTGAGTTTAATTTATCTTCTCCATAGGCAAGCAAATGTCCACCTGGGACCACCATGTTCAAGGGACATCAAGAGGAAACGAAAGCCAGCTGCAGCCTCCATATCTAGCCCAACATCAGGTAACCTGTCAGCATTTTTATAGTCTTGCCCCTTTTGAGCAAAACACCTTAGGCAAAAGTAGTGTTACTGTGGTTGGAAACTAATGAAATGTGTGAGAGGGCATATAGTGTTTGTGCATAGCATCAAAAGCTGCCTACTAAATAATTCTTTGGCAATGTAGCAATGTTCAGTTAATATAATTTGCAGTGCTTCAACTTACTGTGAATAGTTACCTGCTTCTTCATAAGGTATTATTTCCACTGTCCTAAATTATGCAGTTAATGATAATAGGCAGTTGATCAGTATGCACAGTGTGTTCCTTCAGTGTTGGGCTGGCATTAGCTGGTGGCTCTGATGCCTTTATCAGGGTGTTTGTAGACACTTTAACAGGAACAAAAATCTGGCAATTTTTGTATAATCACTGGGTGAAACTACTTATCCCTTGCAGATTGTCTTACACTTTTAGATGAAAATAGTTTTTTCTTGTTATGGGGATGTAGTCATTAAATGGCTGGTCTATTTTCACATGGCAGATTTGTGAAAAATCATTGATTAGTCATCAGAATATGAAAAAGCTTTAATCTGGTGAACATGGTGTGTTTCAGGATGCTTCTTTCTGTCCCTTCACCTTACGCTATCTTGCGACTATCCATTGATACATGTTCTTCCAACTAGTTTATTAATAACTGTTCTTGTAATCCAGTAACAAGGTGGTGGGTAAGATGATGGAAAAAATGGAGATATGAAAACAGTGGGGAAGACCAAATAAACTGATGATTAATAGGAGGAAGTTGTGTTTCTTCCTTGGGCTGGTGGATAGACAGAATAATGAAGTAGGGAAGAAAGCTGAGCTTTCTCTCCAGGCCACTGATCTGGATTGCAAACTGTCAGAAGGTTCCGTACTAAAAAAAAGAAGAGAAAAGAACATTAATAATCTGTTGTTCAGCAAAAGTCTAATCTATTATTGATTATTTATTTAGGTTATTCTTTCCTGGCTTTTGAGTATTCCATTTTGGGATATTTGAACTTCTGTAGTAAAAGGGATAGTATCTGAAACCACAGAATCTTAGCACTGGAATACTAGATTTTCTTCGTATGAATGCTAATGTCTCACTTTCCCCTGTCACTTGTCCATTTATTTATTACTCAGAATGTATTATGTATTGGATTGCTGGTCCCTTTCTATAAGGAGAGCTTCTGTTTCCATGCTTATATGTTGCAAAGTGCTATTTAAGTTGTACTTGCCTGATTAGGCAAATTGTGTACTAAACACTTTTTGAAGAGTTGAGAGTGCATCTGGATTGGAACTTAGCTCTGGAAATAGCACATGGGTTTGGAAAGCTTTCTTAACTATAGAAGAGGGAGAGAGGATTATTATATATTACAAAATAAGGAAGAAATGTAGTTGGTAGAGTATGGGCAGCATGCTTATGCTGATCATCAAGAGACAAGGTCTGCAAAGTCTTTAATGGTCAGAAATGGTAAAGATCTCTTCCTGAGATCCTATTTAGAAATATCATCAGCCAAGTGAACAGCTGTGGGCAGGGCTTGCTGTAGTACTGACTTGTGGAAAGAAAACTTTTATGATTGGGTAACTGAAGTTGTGTCCTAAATAATGTTCTACTATAGACTCCCAATTACAGCTGAAGCACAACCTCGACATGTAACTTGGAAACTTTGGGAATTTGGTGTTATTTCCGTCAAAGGAGATTTTACTATGGAATTACTAATGCCTAAAAAGATACTTAGTATTATTCTGCAATGTAGAATTAATTGGACACGCTTACGTTTGCTGGATATTGATGAAATTAAGATTTTTCTCCCTTGCCATGCATCTACTCACCCCCATATAAATACCATATACTGGGGTTTCCATGTGCCTGAGGAGTTGTGGCAGTCTCTGTTTTTTCACTTCTGAGGCTTTTTGTGTTTGTGGTATTTTACTTTTGCAAAAGGTGAAGCACAGGTAAATCAGAATATAGGCCCGTGCCTGTCATGCAGACACAGTGCTGGATTTCTTCACCTTTAAATACCTCCTTTGCTGAGTCCAACTGCTCTCGTCTCACTTGTTGACCAGGTCCTGCTTCAGTGATCTCCTTTTTTGCAACCTGAGTGCCCCGTGGAGGTGAAGGACACAGCCTGAGCTGGCTTCATCAGTCAGCAGAACAAATGGGCTTGCTCTTCCGAACATCGGGCCATCTCGGATTCCACCTCTTTTATAGAGATGAGTGATGAAGAGGGGCTCGTTCCGCTTTGCCGCTGTATTAATACACATCAGGGGCCAGCTCCCGGCACTAAATCACGCTACTGCATACATCTGTTATCGGACTCCTCACCAGTGTGATGAACAAGACTGCAGATAGAGGCTTCCTCGTGTCATTCTTTATAGGATTTTCCTAAAAGAATAAATAGCTCAAATCTCTGCCAACACTATCCCCTGTCATTGTGATGAATTTAGCTTCTTTCTTAAACATGCAGCTACAAATCTTCCCCTGTCGCCTCACCCTTCCACCATCCACAGAAAGTTTTGAGTTGAATTTGGCTGAAATGAGAAGATGCTAATAAAAGGCAGATGAGATGGGGATGCTGTATCCCTCCTCAGTGCAGGAATAAGAAAAGGCAGCTAGAGATAATATTTATTTGGGAACCAAGCAACTAAATTTATTCTATGTCTTCTCACGTACTTTGATGACTGTGAGTATTTATGAGTTCTGGTAAAGTATCTTTTCCCAGAGACCCTTGCATGAACATCAAAAAGCAGCATTATTCTAGAAGTGCCTTGGGTCTCTATTGTATTGCTATAGAATTAAAGTTCTGGTCTTAATCCTGCTCTTTGAGGCTAACTGGCCTAAATACCATAACTGAGAGGTTGAGAACAACAAAAAAGTGGGTAGAAAATTTAGAATTAATTTGCACTTCAGGAAATTACTTCTATCAAAATTAAGTTGGGCAAACTTATGCAAATATTCAGAGACTGAAAATTAATGTTTTCCACACTAGACAATCGAACAGTGGGAGCCCTAAAGCATGAGGCCTTCCCATGACAAGAACAAAAATCTGGCTGGTGTAGTTTGGCAATAGAATAAGGAAATCTGGAGAAAGTTAAGGCTGACTGTTCTGGATTAGACCAGGGATTCATCCAACTCAGTGACCAGCAGCCAGCGCCTAGGGAGGAAGAAGGTCTGTGGTGGTAAAGGTCCTTTGACATTTCAGTGATCTGAACCTTGGAAAGCATGGATAGTGTCCATGTGTTTAGTTACTTTCTATTGCAATACAGTAAATTTTGAATCATATCCCCAGTGGCACAGTAGAGCTTGTCTGAGAATTACTGCATAAAATGTTATTCTCATGGAAGTTATTCTCTAGTTTGAAAGGAATCTGATGAAGACTGTCACTACTGTCTTCATTTTGTCAGAATAGGCCACAAGTACAGTTGGTTGTGTCATAAATGGTGAACAACTGCCAATCTTTACACTGATGTTTTTAATGTTTATGTGGTTCAATCCTCTATGTATGTAGCAGTGTACATGGTAACTGGCATCCTAATCAGCTATTACAGTGATTTTGGGGTAAAAATCTGCACAAATAAATTTTTGTCTGCCTTGCCGTGTGTTCAAACTTAGCTTGTAAAAAAGGTGACAGTTAGCAGCCTATGAGACTGCTTATCAGAGAACAATCTGATGAGTAATAGCAATTTGGTGAACTCTCCCCCTCCTATTTCTTGCTAATTATTCACTCTGCCATGCCCAGAAACAAGAAGCCAGCTTCAGTCCTTTTCTTTTTCTCTTGTTATGAGGAAAGATGGAGAGCCTGTGTGTGGAGGCTGCTAGCAAGAAGCACATAGTGTAGTATTGGTGGTGATTGTGAGTTTAAGGACTGACTTAGTTGTTGGTTTTTTCATGTTTCATATGACTTTCAGATGGAGGAAGATGATGGACTGGATGTAAAATTGCAAAGTACTTTTGTCAGCTGTGTTGTAGTTGTAGCTCTATGGGAATGTGACTCACCGTTTTGGATTTACAGAAGCAGCATTGCTGGGGTTCCAGTTCTACTGAATGTGGAACCTCAAGCATTGAACCAGCTTTTTATTTAAACTTCAAAGCAATCTGTCCTCTAATTGAGGCTTGCTGTGGCATCTTTATCCTTCATCCACTACAGAGCAGCAGATGCAACTTGTAATTAAAACACACAAACAACTATTATCTGTTGTGAGACTACAATGAAGAAATGTATTTTGTATTGAAGTAGTTACTTGTTTAAAAAATTCTGTTTGCCCTGAAGTCTCCTATGACAATTATTCTTCCTTAGCTGGCCCTGTTCTGCTTGTGAGGATTGAGTGATTCAGGATACTGAGAATTGGATTGAACTTTCATATCTCTAGGTTTTTGGCAATCCTTCTGGAAATTTGGGTTGATGTTGGGTTGAGCTATGGATCTGCAAATCTCTCTGGCTATTATAGCCTGTCCCATTTAGGATCAGTGGTTAAATTGAGAAAATAAGAATGGATTTCAACTACTTTGGCAAGCAGTTTATTGTCATAACATGCTGATTTACCATGTTGAATATATGTGGAGGTTCATGGTACTGCCTTTACTGCGTGAGGAGAGGTATGTTTTCCTCTTTAGATGAGCTTAGCAATCTGAAATTTGCCACACCTTCAGAGACTTTGAAAGTCTCAAATAGAGAGCTAATTGAGTCTTTGCAAGGAGTCCAAGTTATTTTAAGCAGAATGATTGTGAATTGATTAAATATGGGACAGCTAAAACTTTTGATTTTCAACAGGAACTCTGACTAAGGGAACTAGCTAGTGGACTGGGAACTTGGAGTTTTGAATGTGTGACTCATTAGAGCAAAATTGTTAATGCTGTCAAGAACTTCTATTTTAGAGGAATTTGGATGGAGAACCTTTAGAAATTCAATATATAATATAATCATAAATGATATTATATATATGAGGGGTTTGCCTTGAAGTCAGTTGTTCTAACTTTTTTTATTGCCCTTTCTTACTGTCTTTCTCTGTTCCCTTTCCTACAATTTTATATTCCAGCAACTTTATCTGTCCACATGGATGCGGCAGAATCAGAGCTACCAGCAACACCCTCCTTGAGATCCCAGAACTCTGAGTGCACTGGGAAAACACCAGCGGCTGAGAAATCTACTATTGCTGCCTCCAGTAACTTTTTTAAAATGCCGCCAGAGAAGAGCCCTGGACACAGCTAAAAGGAAGCATTGCAACTGTAAAGGCTTGCTTGATTTTGGAAGTGTTTGATTCTGGTGTTTGTCTGCACCAAACATCTTGTTTGGCAGTAGTGGTACCTCCAGTATTGGTGCATGATGCGTGCCACCATCCAGGCTGGTCTGTGTGCCTCACACACCTAATCATCTTTGTGAATCTATGTTTAAAGAAAAGGTAATCAGTGTTGGGACTGCAGTGGCTTTTAGAAATTTTCCTGCTATCACTGTATTTATTATGAATTCATCTCTTTCCCTGATTCCAGCTCATATGTAATAGGTCATGTACAGGTTCTTCTGGGTTTTCAGATCTTTCTTCACCCACTGGACTTGTTGCTTGTTTGTGTATTTGGCATTTTCAGGGTGAAAGTCCCACTGCCATTCAGGGAGGCAGGAGTTTCCCTCTGCTTGCTTCTAGACCAGAAGGATTTCTTGGCTGGGGAATGAAGAGGGAATATCAACACATTGAAACATGAAATCTGAATCTTGTATTAGCAGAATGTTTTCTGGGCATGTGCTGATGGATTCAAATCATGTTGCTTCTGGCAAGCAAATATGGTGCTTGTCTATGTAGAAATTGCCATTAGCTCACTGACAGCACTGTCCATTTGACCTTTTCCTTCTCCCTTGTTCTGAATGTCTTCAGTCTTTATTGTGTACTGCATGTTCATTCCTAAATCTCCTACTGGATAAGGATTTGGGAGAACTACTTGAACATAAACGTGCAAGCTGGTGTCCTGGATAGAAAGCTGGACCCTTGAATATTGTTGCAGTATGGTAGAAGATTATACAAAACATACATATCTGAATGTATAAAATAAAAAATATCCATTCGTGTTTCTAAAGGATGCTGGTTGAAGTTGACATGCCATTGAACAAAAAAAAGCCATTTAAAGTGTCACCTGAGTTCAGAATGTTACAGGTATAGATCAAACTCCTGTATCATGCTTTCTCTCCTTTCAGAAGTATTGTCTGCTGTACTGACTGGAGATGATTGCACATTATACTGCAGTGTACACTAAAGAGATTCTCTTCATGGAACTTCAACTTGGTCTGCTGTTACCTTCTGTGTTGCAGAATATATGGACTTATCTTGGACTGTGTTTTCAGAATATGTACCTGTATAGCATGTACCAAGGAAAGGTGGCCTCACAGCTTCTTGAGTCCTTTAAGTCCTGTTTGTATGAATAGAACTTTTTCCTTTCCTCATGTGGAGCTTTCAGACAGGACTGTTTAAACTTGTAAAGTCTGTTTTGATTGTGGCAGTGCATCTAGTACTCTTTAGCAGACAGCAAAATTTGCGTGATTTTACTGATTCCGCAGTGTTCTGTTCTCTTATGAATCAAATGACTGAGGGACAGATTTGATTGGGGGAATATGAAGCAATGATTTATATTAGCTGTGTATTAAAAGGGGAAATGATCATAATATAGACGAAACAGAAACTGAATGATTTGCTAAATCATGATTGACAAATACAGGTAATTATAGGACATGCACACTGTGTCTGATCCCTAATACCTACTTATTCTTGGGGAGACATCCAAATTGGATTTATATTTTGCAGCACAAGCAAACTCTCAGATCTGTCACTATAAATCCTTCTCAAACTTTTTTTTTTCTTTTTTTTTAATTTGGGCGGTACATTTTAGAAGTAATTAGAACAGGGAAACCTTTTTTTACCTTAATGAAGGGATACAGAAGTCCATTTGGATTACAGGACAGGCTGTAACAATGTATAAAGGAAGAAGTGTTCCTTTTTTAAAGTTGTCATGGCTTTGTCTTATTTGTAGCTATTTTGAACAATGATGCCTAAGGGGTAACACAGGAAGCTTCAGCACTGGAAGGCCTGCAATCTAAAACATCTGAAGAGAAGGTAAACCTGAAGAGTAGTAGCTTGACTATCTAGTACTCATTAATACAGTGAATGGGGAAGGTGATAATGTTCTCCTGATAATTTGCAGATAAAATTTAGGATTTGAAGCCTTATAATCTAAACTGCATGCTGCTCTGATGATGAGTGGTTCCCTAAAAGAGGATTTGTGAAATTGACTTGTTTTGATCTTATGGAGTATCCTCCACAACCTCTCTGAATTTGAGTCTGTTCAACAGACTTACTCAGATTACTGACCGTTCAGCTTTATACAGTAAATACAATTTATTTTATTTACATACAATTTTAGCCATTGTATTCCCTTTTAAAAATCAATTGTGATATATCTTGCTACATTCTGAGTATTCTGAGTATTGTCCAAATAGTTTTCTCTCTTCCGTGATGTCAGGATGCTTTAAAAGCTTTTTCAAGAAAGGTGTTAGGGAATCAAGAGCCTTTCTCTCATTGTGGTTGTAGAGGGGTGGGTTGCAGTGCCTTGTGTGATTTTTCTCTGGGTGCAGGGAAGGAGAATTTATCATATTTCCCTATTGAGGTCAGTAGCAGTATTATCTGGTTAAGCCCTTACTTAGGTTGTTAACTCCTAGGAAGTATTTGTTGCCTTTAAAGGCAGATTGTACCCGTGGCAGTACTGAAGAGCAACTGTGGGAGTGTCTTGACAAGCCAAACTTCCTGCTATGGCAACTTTGTGGAAGTTCCAGGAGACTCCAATTATTGCAACTTCCCTGTCTTTCCTATTTCTAGGTTAGAATCCATTTACAAGTCAGTCAGATTCTCAACCAAATTTGATTCTACTGAGTTGTAGGCAAGCTAAATGGATCATATATCTTGTTACTCCAGAGTATTTATCAAAATGTATCTTCAGTTGATACAGATAACCTTGTACCTTGATACAGGTTTTAGTATCTACAGCATTCTTAGATGAATAAAATCCATTGTTTTGCATCTTTTTTTTCATCTAAGGCAGATATCTTAGAACTCACTCTGCTCACACAGTCCTCAGTGTGAAGGATACTGCTTCCCACGTGGATTACTTGAGTAGAAAGGAGTAATAACATGCCTTGATTTAGTAGCTGTGCTTCTGCAAAGATGGTCCAGTATGTGATTATTGCTTCAAAGATATGCAGGTCACTCCTATTCCACTTTTTGTCCACCAGGACTCCCCAGCCTTATTTCAGTTTTGTCTTCCCTCTAGTTGTCTTTCTCCTTGGCCTTATGGGGCACTACTACTTTGCAGACAGGACCTGGGAATATCATACTATTGTGACAAGCAAGTCTGGGAAATTCCTGAAGTATGTTGAAGATAATTTGTAGTCACAAGTATTCAGCCAACTAGGAAAGATTCCCTCCTAAACCTGTTATTTATTAATAAAGAAGGACTTTTGAGAGTTATGATGGTAGGTGGTTGCCTTTGCCACAGGATCATGAAATGGGTAATTTAAAAAATTTTGATGTAATGAAGAAAGCTATCAGCAAGGTTTCTACCCTGAATTTCAACAGAGCTAACTTTAGGAAACTCAGTGAGCTAGTTATTAGTGTGCTGTTCCTAGTCTGGTCAGTTTTTAGGAATCACCTTTTAAAAGCACGAGAGCAGGTGATCTCTCTGTGTTGAAAGTCAAACAAGCCATGCAGATGAGCAGCTTAACAGAGAACTCCTCTTGACTCTCAGAAAGAGAAAGATTGTATGATCTCTAGAAGCAAGGTTAAGCTTCACAGAAAAATTACAGTGCTGTAGTTCACATATGCAGGGAGAAGATATGAAAGACCAAACCTTAATTAGAGTTGAAACTGGCCGGTGTTATGTCAGACAACCAAGGCTTTTTGAAGTATATAAATAGCAAGAAGAGGTCTAAAGAAAACATTGGACTGATATTTGTTGTAGATGATCACCAGACAAATTGGCGTGAAGACAAAGTGGGGGCATTCAGTACTTTTTTTGCCTTGGTCTCATTATAATACTGACACACCTTGGGCTGCCCTGTCTTCTGATTTGGAGGACTGTTACTGTGGGAATAGTGACTTTGTTTGTGTAATGGAGATTGTAAGGGACCAGTTGAATGTTTGTAAGTCTATGAGGCCAGGTGGGATTAATCCCAGAGTACTGAAGGAGCTAGTGGTTATTGTAGCATGACCTCTCTCAATCTCTACCGAAGGTTTTGGGAGTCTGGGAAAGGCCCACACTGACTAGAAGCTACTCAGCATTATTCTGGTTTACAAGAAGGGCATGATGTGAGACCCAAGAAACACAGACCTGCTAATCTAGCCCCAGTACCTAGAAAAATTTTAGAGAAGATCATACTGGGTGCTACTGAAAGGCATTTCAAGTCATTTAAATCATAGAATCATAGAATATCCTGAGTTGGAAGGGATCCACAGGGATCATCAAGTCCAACCAAACAGGTCCAGTGAGTGATGTGGTGGTTGGTGGCTGTCTTGGGTATAAGGGACCATGAAATGTTAGAGTTTTCAATACTGGGTGAAGTAAGGTAGGGCACCAGCAGAATTTCCACCATGGACTTCCAGTGGGCAGACTTTGGCCTGTTCAGGAGATTGACAGAATCCCTTGGGAGTCAGTCCCAAAGGGCAGAGGAATCTAGGAAGGCTGGTTATGCTTTAAAAAGGAATTCTTAAATATGTTGAGGAGCAGCACCATCTTCTTAGTCCTCCTTTAGATGCTCCCTAATAGCTTTATATCCTTAATGCCAAGTTTGGTAAGTACTGGAGAAGGCTGAATTAAAAGAATGTAGTTTCTGACATGATGGATTTATGATTTTAAGGTACATAACAAGTGGAGAAAGAGCAAAACAGGACCTGGAGAGAAACTTGTTTGAGGTTGGGACTAGTGCTACTGAATGATAGATTAGCTTTGTGATTGGGGTATTCAGAGGTGTGTCTTGCCAGCATCATTCTTGAATAATGACACTGAGTAGGTTAGTGCTGTCCTTCAAACTGTAGATGCTCTTGCTGTTATTTTGTGGATGTTGCGGAGATTTGCTTAGTGGGCTGAGGATGAGAAGGGAAACTGTAGGAAGGGCAACAAGAAGCATGAGGGAGTGCCTTTTTTATTGTAACCCCTTCTGTGCTTAAGAAGGAAGATGCTACAAAAAGCAGTATATGTGCCTAGATATTGAAAAGAAATTATGTGAAGTGGATAAGAACTTTGCTTTGTTGTCTTGAGTTTGTAACCAGATAATTTTTCAGTAAAGCAAAAGTGAAGGATGCTACATTTGTTCAGAAAGTGTATTTAATGGTCTGTTAGGAGACTGTCAAAGGAAGATGAACTTCTGTTCTCATTGGGATACTTCATTTCTGTGTCTTTGTTTCCTGTGTTCTGTTCCAGTTTGTGTTTTGTGATTGCAATATCCTTTTGTACTACCAAATGCAGGAAAAGTACTTTACAGTAATGCTTCTTAAGGCATGAAGCATAAGGGGACACTTGCTATACAGGAAGTAAAACAAGATTATCTTAGGCCATTAACTTTACCCAGTACAAGGCTTGAACTCAGCACAGAGGACATAATGGCTTAATTATACCAAAGCATCTCTTTCTGAGAGTGAATAGTGCCACAGGCAAGTGCAGGGAGACTAAACTGGCACCAGTGTCTTGAGACCCACGGGTGGCTGGGCCTCAGTCACCTGACATATAATACAGATTTACATTGTAAAGACAGAAGGAACTTTCAACATAACTCTCAACTTCAGTGTGGCTAGAATGCCTTCCCATGCAAATGGGGATGTCACTGTGAGTCCAGTCAGCTGAAAAGATGTGCCCACTGGCATACTATGTAAAGAGAATTCTTGTACCAACTTAAAAAATTGGTGAAACTGGAAAATGGACTGGTACAGTGTGTTATATTAGAGAAAGATGCAATATATATATATATATATATATATATTTATATATATATAAATATATATATTTGCAGACAATAATCAAGAAAAGTATTGCTGAGCCCTGTGTGTTATGAGATAGAGTATTTAATGTCCTAAAGCAGAGAAGCCAGTTTTATGAGGATGATCAGGGTTTTGCAAAGCTGCCCTCTTGTCCTTGTAAACTCTGAAGGAACTGGTATGAACAGCATGAAAAATGCTGTACTGTGTCAGACCAAAGGTCTGCTAGTCTTGGTAGTCTGTCTCTCACAGTGACCTGGTTTGACTGCCTAGGAGTACTGTAAAGATAAAGCAGTAATAGAGTGATACTTTTTTTTAGTGTTCTCTTAGCCCAGCGTCCTGCCTCAGAAAGATGTACAAACTTTCTTTGAGGCTGGAGAAAACATTTTTTAACTTTTGGTTGTAGTATTTATCCTGCAATGGAATTTAAATATATTTTTACAAGGACACATCCTGATGATGAAAACATCAAGTAAGGATTAGTATATCTTTGTTTGTAATCAGTTTTCTTATTGATTACTGTTTTTATAAGTAAATACTATCTTCTCTTGGAATATTTTTTCCTAATATCAACATCTTGACATTGTTTCTTACCATGCTTTTTTTTTTTAGCAAGGTTGAAAAGTCTTGTTCTTTCTTTACAATGAGGCTTTTTTGACATGTATTTATATGCCCAGTCAACAAGTCCCATGTACTCCACTAACCCATATAAATCATTTTTCATAAGCATCGTACTGTGAAACTTGTCATTTAATTGTGCTCCTGCATGAAAATTCCCAGTATTCCATATCCATATGCATTCAGTTCTAGTGTCTATACTTAAAGTATTCTTCAGAGTTACGGAGTAACTGTTAAGAGTCACTTATGGTACTCCTCAAAGAGTGTTCTAATATTGCTATTCAAGCTTCATATACTCATATAGCCAAATATGCTGCTAGGCTTTGCTGCCCAAACAATGCTGTAACACTACCATAGGAGGTGATATTCAGGCAGTTGAATTTAAAAGTTCTTACCACTGCTTTTCAATGTACAAGGTCCTATAAAGTAAGATTTTTTTTTTAATTCAAAAATTTGTTGCATTTCCTTTAGCAGTATTATAGTGCAATTTTGTACCAGTCGTTTTTATAGTTTGCAATACTTAAGAGCTCAGTCTGTTTAGTTTTATCAGAAGATCAGAGGTGTCATGCCTGTGTGGTAGAAAACCCTTTGTGGCATTGGAAATTCTAAGTAGTAAAGCATCTTTTGTCTTGCAGATGGGCATATAAATGAACTTTGACCTAAAACCTAGGTTGCCTAGATTGGTGCATGTGAGATTTCATTGCTGGAGGCATTTCTAAGAGGGCCATGATCTGAGACTGGTCTGGCCTGACCAGAGTCCTTGAGCACTGCTGAAGTCCTTGAATTTTCTCTCAGGTTTTGACAACACCAGATAGTGAGCAAAGCTACCATCAGTTGCATTTCAGCTTCCTCCTGCTGTCAAAGAGGGCTCTCCTAGAGATAGCTCACAAAAAGGTCTACTCAAAGTCTATCAAGAGCTGCCTTGTGCATGTCCCAAATATTTAATGAGGTCATAAGATTTAACTGTTTGATAGGGGTTGGAGTCTGGGTTCTTGGTACTCTATTTTAAGGGTAACATGTAAATAAGAAAGATTCCTGCTTGTATTCCTCTGTTTTAAATAAGATGTGTATTCTCTGAATGAGGCTCTTGCAGAATCTCTGTTCTGATTATAGAAACTGGAAATAAATCAATATATGAAAGAAGTGTTTTATCTGATATAAAGTGAACTGAGTTGAGAGTGGGGGAAGAGAGGTTTTGCTGACATCTGTCTAGATTTACAGTATTGGGCTCTCCATTAATCTGCATGCTTCCTTGACCGTTTCCGTAAGTATAAACTGTAATCTGAAGGTCTGTAGGGAGTTACTATGCTTTTTTTGCTTTGAATTGCAAACCTGAGTGAAGGATTTGAGGTAATTTATCATGTCCATTCTTTGGAGTTTTTTTGTAATGATTTTGTTTCCCAGTTTGTCAGGACCTTGTCTCTAGACGAGTGAGATGCACCCTGTTTGGAATTTGAAGCAATTCCAGAGTTTCTTAAATAGCCTTTCATTTCTAAGCCACTGCTTCAGATCTGCCCAGTCCCAAATGGGATGTCATTTAAGTGAGCAGATCAGTTTCAATTGATAGTTTAATGGATATCAATTCATTTTGCCAACACTAACATCCTTTTAAGATAGATTGGCATAATTCTTTTTTACCATGATAACAATGACTTCAAAGATTAAATGAACAGAGGACTTCTAATTTTCTTTTGCCTGTGCTTGTATCCCACTATTAATAGCTATGCATATCTGTGGTAGGAGCAACACAGGAATCCCTTTGCCTGAACTGTTCCAATGAATAAACTGTAAAAATTAGATCCCAAGTGGACTAAATGTTTTTAAACAAAAAGATCAAGATCCTTTGGAAATGGCTTCAAGTTTTTAATACCATATTTGGAGTAGAGGGTTGTCTACAAGCTGCATGTGTGAGACTTGGGAAATGTTCCCTGTGAAATATGCTGATTTTTGTTAAGTATAAGTAGTTGGAACAAGGAGCAATAGCTTGTCTTATAGGAAGGGCTCAGATCTGGCAAACTACTTGTAATGTCAAAAATTTCAGATGTCTAAAAATTAGCTGTTTCAGTCTTACACCTACATACAATTTTGTAATTTTAAAATTTTGAGTAATGAAGCATTTAATCTGATAATTATATTCATTTCTATTTAAAAAGGGAAAGCTGAATGGTGCTTTTTTACATGTCCTTAATTTTATATCCTGAGAATTTTCTCAGTTCAGTTTGAATAACTGGTGGTAAGCTTGATAACAGGGCTGACTATGATGGCATTTATCAATTTTGATATTTTTCAAACCATGAACCTTTATTTGTGCTTTTCCAGCTCATAAAAATCAACTGAAACTACAGATGAATGCAAGCAATATTCTTGCTATATATTAATGGAGAACTTGTCATATGTAAATAAAAGGGCATTTCAAAACTGGAGTACAAATTTTGTTCTCCACTGGCATAGAGTATTTCCCAGGAAGAACAGATACTTAGTTTTTAAATGAAATATAGGGTTTCAAAGTAGTAAACTACATTAATTTAATTCATTTTTTGTGGGGGAGTTTTGGTGGGAGGTGACTAAATATGAGAATGTGAGCAGATCTTAGGAGTTGCTACAATAGGGCAGATGTAGCACACAGAGTTTTCAAAACACACAAAAAATTTTACTGGAGACTGGAGAATTGTACCTAAAGATTGGAGAAATCTTCCTCTGAGAAGTGTCATCGCTCACAGACTGCCTGCAGGTGCAGTGATGGCAGACCAGTAGCTCTGATAAACTAATGCCAATACTGACAATGATGTTTCCCTTGTAATTTTGACACCAGCTTCCTGAGAGGTTCAGCAGTGTTGCTTTAGGGCTCTTCTTCATCCTGCTTCACAAAATAATTTGCAAGTGCTTGGACTCACCTAGCCCTCCACCATGGGGAAACACGTGTTCCCATTTTGAGCCAGACACTCCTACTGCTGAGTGTTGTATGGTGCATGAAAGAAGTCCTGTGTTTTCTTTCTTGCTCATCCAGTGAACAGCAAGGGGAGCTTTCATGAATCTTGCTGGTCCTTTCAGATACTGTGGAGACAGGAAGGAGGGAATTAGACATGCAAGGATTGATTCCAGGGTGGGGAGAGGGGGCCATGAGGTGTGGCTGTTGTTCTGCACTCAATGCCAGAGCTACCTGGAGAAGGTGACATTTCACCCTTGTCCCACACTGATAGGCTGCACAACTCTAAACCATGGGCTTCACCTGCTTACACATGTATTTAGACATTTCAACAAGAATCTTCTTCAGCAACCCCACCCACCCCTCAAGTAACAAATAAAACAAACCATAAAATTTGTGCTCTGATGACAAAGCTGCAATTTGATTGATGCATGTTGCTGTAATCAGTGCCCTTCTGCATGTGCAGTGCAATGCAGTCAGGCACTTTCATGATTTGTTGTTGGGTTTGGGGGTTGTGTGTCTCAGTCTGTTCATCTGCCCCCTTTCACACATGGTTCCTGCCTTAGTGTAGGACAGTTGAGACTCTCTGAATGTACAGCTGCTGGCTTGCGATTTTTTTTTTCTCCTCCGTAGGCTGACTTCCAGCTTTATTTACTGGGCAGCATCCACACTCCGCTCTGAAGAGGAGAGATACTTGTTAGTTTCTTCAGAGTACTTCCTGCTGTGACGGCTGAGAATGTTAATGAACTTGTGTACTGAGCATTTGAATGTTATTGTCATTGTTATTGCGTAAGTGAGGAATTTAAGACTGGAGCAAAACCCAGGAATTATCTCTGAATTTGAGGGGCCTCGGATGAGATACACAAACACTGGCAATTCGCAGGGACTGACTTTGTACCCTTTTGTAGGTTCAGATTACATTTCCTACAAACTTCCCTAGCAGCTATAAGTGCTCAGAGCTTCTGAACATCCAGCCACAATTACTGATGAGGTGAGGAACACTGTCCCCATTGCTGATGTCTTTCTGTGGCTTCTCAACTAAGAGAGATGGCAGCCGGCAGGCATCTCTCCAGGGCTGATGGTCAGTTGCTTTCATCATGAGAACATGGACAGCCTCCTGCTTTGTCCTTTGTGCCAGTGGGTCTGACTCATTTATGCTCATCTCCTTCAGTTCTTGCCCTTCACCTCTCTGGAGGCATGCATTCTATGCTCTGGATAAAGTTAAGAGTCTCAAAAATAAACTGTGTAATCATTTGATTTAACATTATTGTAAAGTATATGGACTAAGGGACAACTTAGGGTGGCAGAAAAGGGATTTCTTCCTTTTTTGAGTATTTTTATCTGTAACCAGATGTATATATATCTGTGTATACATATATATATATATTTATATGTATTTATTTTTGAGCTAGGACTTGGTATGTATTCACTTTGTATTGGAGTTTCCTTATAAAAGTATTTTAATTTCCCCAAATATGTTTTTTCTCTGGAAATACTATGATTCCTGGACTTCAAAGGAATTGAAAGAGCAGCCCCAAATGCATAGTATCATAGAGAATCTGCTGTGAAATAACATGTCTACTACATCTCAAGAAAGAGCAATAGGTAGGTGAAAACTTGCTATGGAACAATCACACTTTATATACTTTTACCTGAACATCATAGGATGACATGAATTTTGACTCATGTCTTGCAGTGATATTTCAAGTAATGTCTTTTTGATTCTTTTCTCTAAACTACAGGGTAATGATTGTCTAGTGAAGTAAACCTGACTGTTGTTTAACAGTCAGGCCTTCTAATGCCCAAATCAGCAAAGTTTTAAAGTATCAGAAGTCTTAGTGTATATCTTGGGAAGAATGCCCTTGGAACCAGACTCAATCATCTGACTGAGCTGTATTGGAAAAAAGGAAAAAGGATAGAAGGAGAAAATGATATTAACTATTATCTTTATTATCTTAAGTCTCATTCTGTTCTCTCCATGGACTCTTGGTTTACATCTTCTAGAGAAATTAGTGCATCTTTAAAGAAAACAAAAAGACAAAGATAAACAACCTCCCTCTACAAGCTTTTTTGTGTTCATTTTTTAGATGTGGGTTGGCAGGCTCTGTTTGCAAGCTGAATACCCATTTCCTCATTTAAAGAGATTCCATTAAGCTGAAAGATGAAAATCAAAATGTTTGATTTTCCATTAATACCATTTTCAGACTGGACAGATAGCTGTGATTATGATTTTCTTATATTACTGCAGTAAAGTACTGTAGTCCACATCATTCCTTGCTCACACATTACACCTCACACCTGTGCTAAGTGGGCATTTTCTGAGGAAAGTGCATTGTTTGCTTAACAGAAGCACAAAAGATGACATATGGTAAGTTGCTGTACACCTTATCTTCTCTCTGCTAGTCATTGTGGGCAAAGTGATGATGGTGCACTACTGTATGACTCAGAAACAGCTTTGCTGAAAACCACAGATTTATTTCAGGTAAGTGACATCCCATGTGTATGTGTACTTAAATGAAACTGTGTATTTGTTCCTGGGAAGAACCCAAATGCTTGTCACAAATAACTGGCATCTGGAAGCATCAGAGCTGGTCTGTTTAGAATATGTCTACTCTCTGTCATTCTGCAAGTACCTCAAGTGTTTAGGATATGGATGAGTACAACTTCTACTGCTTGTCACTGAACTACTGCTGGTAATTGAAAATTGGAATGCAGTGTTCCCTGGAGAGTTTGTCATGGAGCTCAAGAGGTTAATATGTAGTTATGTGATGATACTATAATTTTATATGCATCTGCAGATACTGCTAATAGACATTAAAGTGGGCATTTACATCCTTATTATGGGTCAGTACTTGATGTCATAATAAAAAAGTCACATCAGAAAAGTACAGGATAAAAATCTGATTATGCACATTTTGGAATGTAAATGGCTTTAAAATTCAAATTGTCACCTGGTGGGAGGATCAGGAAGAAGTCAGAGCAAGGGCAAAGGGGCAAAGCTGTAAGACACAAGGGGCAAGATAAAGGAGGAAGAAGACAGGCAGGAGTAGGCCTTTGCTTGGATAGTTTATATCCATATGAATACTATACCCCATTACTTAAGCCCTTCATGTCATCTCATTAAACATAAGCTTGAGTGAAAGGTGGACTTTGTAATGGAGTGTGAAGGTCAGTAAACTCCAGATCTTCTATCTTTCCACAGATTTCAAATCTGCTCAGTGTTGTTAAGCGTAAAGCATCATGTAGGTTAATGCAGGCTGTGCATTTGGAAAGCAACATCGAAGTTAATGAAGTTTTCAAGGCAAGACAATCTGAAACTCTCTCACAAGTCTGCCCTAAGTAAATATACTAGTAAAGCTGCAACTACTGGCCCCAGAGCCTGAGGAGGGGCGGGTACTGAGGAGACAGCCTTTGAATTCTGAAGTGCTGTGTAGGTTAAAATCAGTGGAGAAGTACCATGAGAACTAGAGCAGCATGTGTGATGCAAGTGCAGCTGAATACATCAGGATACAGTAAGTTCAGTTGCAGATGCACTCAAAGGGTTTCTAACATCACCTTTTGTGTCTGTGGGAGCTGAAACCCTAAAGTATGTAGAAATTTGGAAGGGTGCTGACTTTCTATTTCTTCACTATTTTTTCATCCAAGCGCATCCTAAAGCGCTCTGAATTCAGAGTCTGCAGTTGACTGAAATTTTAGGGATTTTTTTTGGTTGGAAATACAGGATGCAAGGCTATGAAGTGAGGTAAATGGTTTATGAATGATGGAAGAAAAAGCCTTGTCCTTCCATCTCCACTGCATTGTTTCTTCATGCTTGGCTGTAAGCTCCTGCTGTTTGCCTTTCCCTCCTTTGACTCCTATGAGTCACATAAACCACTTCAACTGCAACAAATGACTTGGTTTCTGCTGGTTTAGTCAGTTGATTTGGCTTGATTGATGTGCACAAGGGGTGCTAGAGGCAGCCCAGGGCATGATGGCAGGACTGGGACTGGGGAGTTGGGTGGGCTGGGAGAAAGTCCTGGGAATAATGGTTTCAATGAGGGAGACTCATACAACGGGCAAGCACCAAGGTTTTAACTTTGGCTCAATTGTTTACAGATCTGTGCCCTGCACCCCATCGTCTGCAGGGATTCAGCAGCTCATAAAAAATCCACACAGTGCAAGGCTGCAAGAGGGGCTTTGAGGTGGTGCTAAAGTCACATGGCCACAAACTGCATATACCTCTTCTCCCAGGTGCTCCTGAAAGGTTTTTACAGTGTCCTTAGCTGAGGAGAGAAGGGACATTTCGGGTGACATAACTGCATATGCTTCCTAAACAGGGATTATGGCTGAAAGGGACGTGCCTGCTCTAGAGAACCCAAAGTGTTGTTTACCTGAGTGTCTCCTCATTTGAGGTTGGATTTGTTTATCTATGGAGCACAATGAATGATGGGGCAAATTTATTGAAAATACTTGGTCTCTCTAGCCCATGTTGCTTGTGGGGAAAACCAGCTTTTCTGGTAAATGAGAATGTTATTAAAAATGCCATTTATCATTTGCAGCAGCTTTCAGTAAAAATACTGAACTGCTGAGGACCTCAAACAGCCTGCTCTGCAGGTTTTTGGGATCTGATATAAGGCAATTTTCTCAGGAAAACAGGAGGCACAGAGAGAAGTTGAGATTTTGCAAGGATTATAGGACAGGTCTGTAGTAGACCTGAAAGGCTTTGGAAATTGAATCCCTAGAGACCTTATATTTCTGTGTCCCTACACTAATGAGGTGCAAATAAAACTCCAAGACCCACTCCATTCAGTGGATCAGTGAGACACCAAGCAGGCTGGTGGCAATCAGTCAGCTACTGAGTCATTTAGTGATTAATGGATCCTTCTTTGTGAATGGGCATGTCCCTTGGCTGAGATCACTTTAGGCTGCTGAGAGGACTGGAATGGAGAAGTCCATCCCCCTGTTTGCAATTAGTGTTTGTTATTAAATGCTGACAGTGTGTTCTTTCCTCTCATGTATCTCATCTTTGTTTATGCACTGGATGTTGGCACAGGCTTCTGTGCTGTAATGTCTTGAATTAGCTGCTGTTGAAAGGAGTCCAAGGAGCACTGTGCTCTGAGGAGGACAGGGGGGTGGGAGAGTGGCTTGACACCAAAAGAGGGGGAGCAATTCTGAGGGAAGGATGAAAATGGGTTTAGTTAACTGGGAGACTGGCAAAGAACAAGGAGCAATGAGTCTGTGCATATCTCTGCTCTCATATGTGAGGCCAAGCACTTGGATGGGAATAAGGAGGTAGATAGGAAGTATAAGCAATAGCAGGAAGGGGAAATAGCCTTGGAAATGGTTTTGTAGAAGGTGATTTTGGCAGACATGGTATCTTTGGGGAGATAGATGGTGCTTGAGTTAGGAAGCACGGGACCTAAGAGGAGGAGACTGCAATCACTGGAGATCACAATAGGGATAGAAATATATAGAGAAGTAGTAACAGAAGTCAAACATCTTCTGTGAGGATGAGGAAGAGACTAAAAGCAGAGAGAAGAATGGAGAAAAAAAAATACTGTTGCCTCTGAATCCCCAGTTGATTTGAAGGGCATCACTAGATGTGTAGTACAAGAGAGTGGCATCATGGCATCAGCCCTATGATTGGGAGAGCAGATTTATTCCATTCTGTGGGTTTTGCATGGCACCTAAGAGGTTTAAGATGGAGCATCTGGGCTAAATACTCAGGCAAATGCAATGGCTGAAGTTCTCTACCCTTCTCTGTGCAGTGTGTGGCACAACAAGCAGTCTCAGTTAGCCATTTTGTAAGTCAGGTCTTTCATGTGTTTGTGTGATGAGAAAAAATGTACAAGGATCTACAAGGAAGAAGTATAGTTTGGTTATAAAAGGCCTGGACTTTATGCTGTTTCCTGCAGCCCATCTGCTCATAGTGGCTACAACAGGTTATTTTAAGATGAGAGGTAAACCCAAGGTGAGTTGATTTTTCTTTCTCTAGGAGTTAGATACCATCTCTGCCACTCCTCTACTGCTTTCTTCAATAAGGGGATGAAATGTTAAATAGGAATAAACAATTAATCTTGTTGGAGTGCTACTTGATTATAACACTTAGCATTGTTTCTTCACGCAGTGGGAATAGACAGGGAAGGGTAGCATGAAGCCAGGCTTGCCTCCATTGGATGCACTGACTCACTGTCAACCTGTGACCTGACTGGTTACAGATTTGTTTGGTCCATTTGAGCCACATTCCTAAAATCTAGGTAGCTTTGGCAGTTGTGCCAGCTAGAGCCTTGATGTTCACTGGTCACCTGTGGACATGGGACAAGCAGCAGTATCAGGCACTGTTTATTGATCACCAGGTGATCTGTGTGTAACTGCCCCTCTGTGTTTTGTAGTTTTGTCCTGTGAATATTTTGCTCTAGTCTCTGCAAACTTTGCTCCAGAGTATCTTTGACAGCACGACTGACTGTTGCTTCTAGTCACTTCAGATATTTTGGATGCATAGCTCTGTTAATATCGAGCTCATTTGTTGGAGAAAATTGAGGTCCACATCACCAGAAGGATACCTTGCTCCAGTCAGTACTCACCTAGCCCAATTGGAGAGAGCATCTTTATCTTTTCCCGTCTCTTACTTAGTCTTTCCTGGTCTTCCCATCCCTCTGATGCTGCTCTGCCACTGCTTCTCCCCCATAGCCCACATTCAGGTGTGGCTCTTTAAAAGCAATCTCTGTCAATATTTGTCATTAATCTGTTTCCATTTTTATTTATAAAAGAAAGAGAGAGAGTGAGAACAGAACAGCAGCAGTAGCAGGGCAATTGCAGATGAATAATGAAAGGATTCATCACAGCCATACCAGGATATATATATTTTTTGCAGCCAAGCGAGACGGATTCCCATCATAGCTCGGGGACTCGTTCCACACAACCACTCATCTTTCATGCTGGGGGAAGGGAAAGGTGGAGACAGTATCATTATGGATGTAACAGGGCTCTCAAGTGACTGGTCAAGGTTGCTGCTTCAGTCACAAGGAATCTGCTTACAGGAATTTTCTTTCCAGCAGGTGTTATTGCCTGGTAAAGTGGCCTTCTACAGCAGTCTGCCACTAGTGAAAGGGAGGCTTAGGGTTTGCTAATGGGGATGCTTGCTAAGCATTCGAGTCACCATGGAAGGACAGAATGTCCAGGTGAGGATTTCACAGGAGTGACAAACTTGACTGAGACAGAATGAGGGACACACTGGGCAGTGCAGGGGTCTTTCTCACATTTTTGTCGCTTGAGCCCACTCTCGAGTTCTCTGTCATATCAACAAACATCTCTCAGCTTGCCCTGCACCATCTAACTTTACAAATCCTTCTGTCCTGTTGAATACAAATGTTTTGTTTTTCTTATTCCCTTTTAGTAGGTTAGGTAGACAAAAATTTGTCAGATGAGAGTGTTGAAGCATTCTGGGGTCTGGAAGGACTCTGTGATGCCAGAAGGGAAAGAACTGCCATTTATAAATTATGAAAGCCCAACAACAACCAACCAACCAAACCCAAAAACTACCCCACAAACAAACAACATATGTCTGATTGATTGAAAACGCTGTGCTCCTGGGTGTGCACTCAAATCCAGAAAGGTCTGTTTTCTTCTGTCTCCCTGGTCCAGGGTGGCAGTGTCACTGCTTCAATGCTGTTTGACCTCCGTGTGCCTGTGTGCGCACAGATGTAGTGGTTATATTCCTCCACAGCTGAAGAGATAGTCTGACTCTCCAGCCCTCTTGTGCTTGTAGAGAGGCAATCTGGGCAATGCAATTGCCCTTCTTGAGGCAGAGATGAGCTGAGCTTTGCTCAGATGCCAAAATGCAGTTACAATCTGCTCCT